ATAAAGACCTACCCAAACAGGAAGCCCTGGATGACAAGGGAGGTCCAGGGGTTGCTAAAGGCAAGAAATACTGCTTTCAGAAGTGGAAATAAGTCGCTGTACAGCTTAGCTAGAGCCGATCTAAAGAGAGGTATCCGTGTAGCAAAGGAGGCGTATAGACAGCGGCTGGAGAATCATCTACAAAGTAACAACACCAGGCAGGTGTGGCAAGGTGTACAAGAATTACAGGGTATAAATCCAAGGACTCCCTGGCAGACGAGGGAGGGGCATCCCTCGCAGAGGATTTGAATGCCTTTTTTGCCCGTTTTGAAGTAACATCTGCAGCAACACCTGCTGAGGCTTTACCAACACCACCACCACTCCCTGTGAAGGCTTTGCCATCATCACCACCATTACCATCATCAGTACAAAGGAATGCAGTAGTCTCTGTGGAAAAAGAAGAGATGAGGAAGGTGTTGAAGGGAATCAACCCAAGGAAGGCCACAGGGCCAGATGGGGTAGCTGGAAGGGTATTGAGAGACTGTCAGATCAACTAGCAGGAGTTTTCACTGGGATTTTAAATCGATCCCTAGGCCAGGCTATTGTTCCATCCTGCCTAAAGTCCTCTATTATCGTTCCAATAGCAAAAAAATCTAACCCGGAAGATCTGAATGATTTTCGTCCAGTAGCACTCACACCTATAATCATGAAGTGCTTTGAAAAGCTGGTACGAAATTATGTCATTGCCTGCCTACCAGAGGGACTGGACACATTCCAATTTGCTTACAAAACGAAAAGATCGACAGAGGACGCTGTGGCGATTGCCCTCCATGCCGTCCTTGCACATTTGGAGCAGCGGGGGGGGGGTTATGCCAGACTGCTTTTTTTAGATTTCAGCTCGGCATTTAATACCATTCTACCACAACGTCTGATGTCTAAACTGGAAGATCTGGGGCTTCCGTTATCACTTTGTGGGTGGATATTGGACTTTTGTCAGACCGCCCCCAGAGGGTTCGGTTGGGCCCCTATACCTCTAATATGCTCAAGACTAACATAGGAACACCACAGGGATGCATACTCAGTCCGCTCCTTTATATTCTCTACACGTACGATTGTGTCGCTACTCACCCTAGTAATAGGGTTGTCAAATTTGCAGATGACACAACCGTGATTGGGCTCATCCCTGAAAGGGAGGGTGAAACGGATTATAGAGATGAGGTGGAGTGGCTGACAGAGTGGTGCAGAGCTAACAACTTGCTCATAAATACAAGGAAGACAAAGGAGCTTGTGGTGGACTTCAGAAGACAGAAGAGCAACGTCCAGCCACTTTTGATTGATGGGGTCTGTGTGGAGAGGGTAACAACGTTCAGATTTTTGGGCATTGAATTACAAGAGGATCTGTCCTGGAGTGTCAACACAAGGGGGCTTGTGAAGAAGGCGCAGCAGAGACTGTACTTTTTGAGAATACTAAGGAAAAACCATCTTCCGCAGAAACTGCTGCTTGCCTTCTATCACTGTGCCATTGAGAGCGTGCTCACTTATGGCTTATGTGTGTGGTACGGAAGCTGTACTACCCAGGACAGGATGGGGTTGTGCAGGGTTGTTAAGGCAGCAGAGAGCATTGTTGGCTGCCCACTCTCCACCTTAGAGCAGATTTATGCCACAAGGTGCCATAGGAAGGCACTGGACATAGTAAAGATCCATCGCATCCTGGTCACTGTCTCTTCGAGCTCTTGCCGTCGGGACGGAGATACAGGACGATGAAGACAAGAACGAGCCGTCTTAAGAACAGCTTCTTCTCCAGAGCGATCTCGGCCCTGAATGGGAAGCCCGGACTTTGAAAGTCATCTAATCTCCCTTGCTGTATTATACTGTATTGATTAATTAGTGTTTTTATGGAGCAGTCAAGTAATTTCGTTGTCCCCGAAGGGGGCAATGACAATAAATATATTATTATTATTATTATTATTTCCTCAGGATTCAGCTCCAGAAGCTTCCGTCAGTTAGATCAAGGAAGAAAAACCATATTGGCCTAATTAACTGATGCCTGGATATGAACTTTTCTGGCAAGCTTTGTTGGGCTACCCTGCGGGAGCCAATTTAAAAGATGATCTGTAACTGCAACATTTAGCGGTGCCAAAGTAGAATGATTTTAATGGAGGAGTCGAGATGCAGTTCACCCACTCAATAGGTCACAGAAAAGTCACCTTGCTCTGTCGTCAGTTGAAGAGAGGGGATTGGTGGGGTGAGTTCTGCTCAAAGGAACTCTTTGAAATTGAGGAAAATATCGGTCACTTTTCCCAGCAGAGAACAGGTGATAGAAGCTAAATTTATCCTCTATGCATCAGTTTTGTTCTGCATGGGGAGGCAAGCTAGTATTTAGAGGGATGATTTTCACTAGTGAAATGGCACGGGGAGGGGGGGGAGTTAAACCTCTCCTCCACCAGGCATCATATGCCCAATTCAAATCTTCTTCTCTCCCCAACTGTTTTTAAAGGCTTTAAAAAGTGTAGTTTTGACCTTAGTGTAATGGGTTAAAAATGCTCTCCCTATATAATTTCTGTTAAATTGAGGCACATTTTTAAAATAAAACTTTGTGCAGACACTAGGGGGCGAAAGAACATAAAGGATGGGGGATACGGGAGAAAACTTGAGCATTAGTAACATGCAAAATATCTGCAGGTATTTTTTAAGTCTCATAGACGTACTCAGTTTTGCAAGCCACACCCAATCATGTAAGCCTGTAGTGAAACTCAGAAGTCTACATGCTGGACTGTGGTAATTATGGGATTAGTGCAGGTGATAGACTATAAGAGTGTTCCTTCAGCAATGCTCTCCAACCCGTTTGTTTTTTATAACAAGGAAGGTCAACATCTGTACTCTAGGACTACTCAATTCTCCACACAGCTGTTCAAGGGCTGAAGTGTATTTTACCTCCATTGAGATCACCCACCACAATAAAGCTGTCGCCATGTTAGGGCTTCCTACATAAGGAGCCCATCGTAAATACGTACCTGTGCACAGGGCACATGTTAACACTGCTTGATTTTCTATGTTACATGAGTCAAAGAGAAAGATGTTAACATTTCATCATCATCATCTTTTATTTGTATCCTGTCCTCCCCAGTCAAAACCAGGCTCAGGGCAGCTAACATCCAATATATAACACTGGTATAAAATCGAACATTAATTAAATTACCTCCTAAACACAAGTCAGGATCAAATTAAAATTTAATTAGATGGCTTTCCACAGGATTAGGGTTGGGAACAGTAAATGCTCACCAGGCCCAACTGTTTACGCTGTTCTTATATGAGCCTGTGAGAATGATGGGAGGCCTCTTTCATACTAGTTCTTATACAAAAAGAGAAGGGGAGTCAGGCTGAGCCCTGACCAAAGGCCTGGTGGAACAACGCCGTCTTGCAGGCCCTGCGGAAGGATGTCAAATCCAGCAGGGCCCTGATCTCTTGTGGCAATCTCCCCAATTTTTGCAACCCTTCTTTCCCTTCAGAATGGACATGTGGGCAAACCTTTGAACCATTCCTCAATCAAAATTTGGTAGGTCCATCAGGGACTAAATGGCACTCCTTCCAGGAAAGGTGGATCAGCAAGGCAACTTTTACCCATCCTTCTTCTATAGCAAGGAAAGCTGGCCATACTCCCATGAGGCAAGTCGTCACTGCTCAGCCGTGGTGTCTCTCAGTCTACCCTAGACTGTGAACCTGAAGGAGCGTCTCCACCCCCATCATCCAGCCCAGAGACTGAGGTCTAGCTCTGGGGTCCTTCTTGCGGTTCCCTCATTGTGAGAAGTGAAGCTACATGGAAACAGGAAGGGCCTTCTCGGTAGTGGTGCCCACCCTGTGGAATGCCCTCCCATCAGATGTCAAGAAGATAAACAAGCATACAACCTTCTCTAGACAAGTATACAACCTTCTGTTGTATCTGAAGGCAGCCCTATATTGAAACACTTTTAATGTGTGATATTCTGTTGTGTTTTTGTATATTCTGTTGGAAGCCACCCAGAGTGGGCTGAGTCAACCTAGTCAGGTGGGTGGAACTCAAAAAATAAAGTAACAACCACCATGCAGGGCTGCTATGAGGATAAAACTGGATCATGTGCTTTACCCTGCTTTGAGCCTTGCTAATCGAAACCTTTTTTAATCTTTGTTATGGGAACCAAACACAAGGCATTGCCCAAAAAGCAAAGAATGCAGGTTTTTATTGGTTAAAGTAGGGAACAGAAAGAGCAGAATATGTATAAAAATTACAAAGTCGAACTCAAAACATTGCTAAATAAATACGGATGTTATTATCTCCTGTATACACACACACACACACACACACACACACAATAAAAGACAATGGGGGCTAGTGCTCAGCCAACTGGGATCTACGAAAGACAGAAGAGCCAAACAAGCTCAAATGCCCAAACTCAAGTGAAATGGAAGTTAAGATGAGAAGCGGGCAACAGGGTCGCCCTCCCTAACAGTAGAGATGGGGCAGGCCTGGTGTTGGAAAAGTGGGAAGAGTCTAGGGAAAGACATGGGAGTGAGCTGAGCAGCCCTGCTGATTTTTCAGACTGACTCATGAAGGCTAATTCTTATTACTGCAGAGGATCGAGGTTAGGCTGATGCATAGGGAAGTAGAACTAGAGGGAGCAAAACTAGGGCTTAACCCTGGAGTCCTGCAATTCCCTCTCTTGTCTCTCACTCCTTCAACCTAGTGTCTTTGAATGTATGATAAAAACAGATCCAACCTTGCTGGGCCCTAGATAGCCAAGGTAGTGTCCTCCAGATGTTGTTGGACAACAACTCCCATCAGCCCCGGCTATCATAGCCAAGGAGGAGAAATGCTGGGAGCTGTCGTTCAGCAACAGCTGGATGACACCGCCTTGGCTAACCCTGCCCCAGGCCTTTGATTTTCTAGATCCTCTGAGAGGTAGCAGGTTCTGCCTGAAGGCCAAGCACCACCAGGCAGGAGAGCAGTCCCCCCACTTGCCGTCTCCTCCTCCTGCTCCCTCACTTCATTCACTTTGTGCCTGATATGCAATGGTGGCTGCAGCCTGGCTCTGGGATCCTTGCACTTTGCCATTCACCACTAGCAGGAGAGGCGTCTCCACCCGGATGCTAGAAAAAGTAAAACTCTGAAAAAGAGGAATGGAGAAAATGTTAGGGTGCGGAGGAAGGATTCAATCTAAGTAAGGCCTCCCTCCCTCCAAACCTTGCTGACTGTAACAGGGACTACAGGGACTATTTTCAGGCAAGATTTGCTTACATATTGGCAAATTCAGGCAGCGTAATCACAGCTGATGGAGAGAACCTTGCACAACAAAACCAATGTCTCCAAAAGACCTGACATTTTGCGATAAGGAAAGTGACAGGAAAATGCACTGGGACAGTGTTAACACTTGCTTAGGTGTAATGTCTAGCTTTCCTGCAAACAAATCAAAATGAACTACGCATTAAATAGCTGGCACTGTCTAATCTCCTCTACAGGCAAATCAGGACAAATGCTCAAATAAGCAGGTTATCTGAAAACACACACACACAGAGAGAGAGATTTACACAACTTCCAACTGAAACAAAGTTTTAAAAGTGCCATTTTAAAAAAGACATGGAGGCTTCCTCTCCACTTGGAATCTTTCTCCCAGAATGACTAATCTGGGAATGGGTGGAGAAAAATACATAAGAACAAGGGGGTGCCAAGACAGACAAGATGACGCCAGTAAGCCTCGAATTGTTGCCTCTGCTTTAAACTGTTTCCATCACTTGTGCATTCAAGTAATTCTGCGCTGTCTCTTCCAACTACCTCTTTGGAGGCTCTGGTTGCATCACGAGCAACATGGAAACAGGTACATAATAGAATTTGAAAGGGCCAAAGAAAGAGCACAGACGGAACTCACCTTGCCTTGGTGCTGGATGTGATGATGCCGAAGGTGAGGCTCAGGGATGGCCACCGAGTCCCCAATCAAAACCCCCCAGCTTTGCGCCATGTTGTACACAGTGACAGCAAAACAAGGGCCCTCGGTGGAGTCAGTCAGGCCAAAAGTGCTGTTTGAGTAAAGAGAGGAAAGAACAAAGTATGTTTAAAAAGAAGTATCAGTCAGGTTGCTGGATGGGTAGACAGGCAAGTGGAAAGATCAAGAGATGAGCAAGATGGATACTTGCCCACACAGCAGAGCCCAAGGAGCTGGTCATGGTTGATAAAGCTCAAGGACAGACTAAGCATCTTGTAGGTGTCATAGTCTCCAAGCTCAACAGAGAGTTCCCTGTTATCCCATCAAAGGTAGTTTCTCCTTATTAGAACTGCCTTCCTCTACAGCAAGGATGGACAACCTCCAGCCAGTGAGCCAATCTCAGCTTGTGTGGTCGTTTTCCCCAAAACATGGCTACCACTCATAAGCCAACATCAGTTGTGATGTCAGCTGAGTTGGCAGGTGGGTGAGTGAATTCGGCCAGCAAGGCCAATCCTGATAAGGATCTGGCTCATAGAGCCAAAAGGTTTTCCACCCCTGCTCTAAAGAACCAACAACACATCAAGCTGAACACATTTCAGAATCAAGATTAAGGTATTTACTTCTGTTTAAGCAAGCGTTTGGTGGCCTCCATAATGCTGTGCGTTTGTGGGATAAGCTTCCACAGCTTTTTGCTACTTTTAAATAATTATTGAAACCCATCCCAAACCTATCTTCCTAGGGAAGAATATAAGCCCTAACAAACTATGAAGAGAGCGGGATAAAGCTAAGCAGGAAGGAAAAGGTGGATATAGTCGGGGGGGGGGGCGGGACATAGGAAAAGATTCCAAGGCAGGATGTGGCAGAAACTCACAAGGGCACCTTTTCCTCTGTGGTCAGACTGAACAGCACCTTCCCCAGCACCACAACACCAGAGTTAACGCCAGACCTCAAGGTGCCCAGGGGGCGCTGTTCCAGTTGCACCTTCTGACCCGAGGGCCCTTGGTAGCGCCCATCCCCACACGGGCCCAGCTGGGAGGTACGCAGGCTTCCCAGCATGCTCTGCAGCTTCTTGCCTTTCACTTTTCCCTGCAAGGGAGAAAAGCAGCATGGTGAGTCACCTTTGCATTGTTGGACGATGCTACGTTTGCATGGGTCAGGCAGTGAAAGGACACCAAGTCTTGTTGCCGTTAATAATACCTTGTTTTCAAGGAGGCTGGTTAGCCGCTCCAGGAAATCTACAAGTTGCTGCTCCCGTTGGCGTGGTTCCGGGCAAGCTGGATCAAGGGCTGCTGCCTGTGCAAAGCCCTCCAGAGCTTCCATGTAGTTTTCTTCATACTTATATAGCTGCCCCCAAAAACAACAGAGCAGAAGGTGATAAGCTAGGGTCACGTGGAACTTACACTACTATAGAAATAGGAAACTGCAGGCACAGGTCAACTAAGTCAGAACAAGGGCAGAGATTGAAAATCGGCCCCTTGATGACTGCTTAGATGGTAGCCTTAAGATATATTTCACTTGGAATTGCCAGCCCCCCATCCTCTAACCAGACCCACACTTTTCAGAGTTCTCCGCGATAGGTCAAGCACAAGCCAGCCAAACCTATCTTGCCCCATGACTTTTCCCATCCTTTCTGCTCACCGTGGCTCGATTAAGATGTAGATCTGGATTACAAGATGCCGTGGGATCCACCTTCTCCTACAGAAAGAAGACCAAGAGGAAGGCATGAGCATCCACCATCACTTCCTCTGTGAGGACACTCTCCCCCTGCTCCCCAAGCACTTTCCTCCACAGTCATTTTTGCTTTTACCAGCTGCAGACCAAAATCCCCATCCACCCACCATCTAAAGGTGCATATTTATAAATGGCCCAATGGCAAATCATCACAAACAACACCTTTAGCTACCTCATTTTCTTTCCCCTCATTGGTCCAGCTCACAAAATCCACGGAACAGTTACATAAGTAACCAATCCTGACATGTGTTGTTCCAGGTATTTATATGCTCACAGGATTAATCTGGAAAGTTATTGCATGAGTACCAAATTTTGTTTCTAGGCTGCCCCTAACTATCCCTATTGGGCAACTTTAGCCTTCATTTTGATCTCTTGCACTTTTCCACTATGTTGGTGGGTCCAGCTGGGGACAGCAGCTGAGCTGAGCAAGAACCACTTTACAGATATGCCACAAAGTCACGATTTAGAAAACCAGGCATTCTTCTACACCAACTACTGTCTGCCTCTATTCTATTCAAAGCAGGGGAGCACAAAATTATGCACCGTGATCTGAATGTGGATAGAGGTTTTTCTCTCTCACACACACAGTACTAGAACCCAGGGTCACCCAGTGATGAGGAATATTGGCAGATTCAGGACAGACAAAATAACTTCTTCACAGACTGCATAGTTAAACTCACTATTATAATATGTAGTGGCGGGCACCAATTTAGCTTTAAAACAGGATTATAAGAATTCACGGAGAATACAGATCTCAGGGGGTACTAGTCATGATGGTTATATATTAAGATTCAGAGGCTGATGTCAGAATACCAGTTGCTAGGGTTCACGAGCACAATTGCGCTCATGCCCTGCTTATGAGCTTTCCGTGGGCATAACTGGCCACAATGAGAACAAAATGCTGAACCCAATAGGCCTTTGGTATGACCCAGCCTTTGGGCTCTTATCTCCAAATAACGTCTTTTGTCAGATGCTAAAAAATAACAGGAGGTGAATATCCTCATCATCCTCGGTATGAGAACTTCCCAAGAGCATGGCAAACTTATGCTAGTGAAGACTGCAACATCTTTATTTTATTTTGCAAAATGCATTAATTGCTTTACATTAGAAATATCAAAGCAATTTATGAAACAGGAGGGACCTTTAAAAACAACATGTGTATCTCATTTTTGCCTTACAGCAAGTTGGTTAGGTAGACTAGATTGAGGTTAGGCGTGTATATGCAGCAAAAGGAAGTGGCAGAATGCCGAAATGCCACCTCAACCTGCAGACAGGAGGTGTCCTTTCAGTATCCTTGCCTGTGTAGACAGACAGTATGCTGTAGTGGTTAGACTTGACATGAGCCAACAGTGTGACGCGGCAGCTAAAAAAGCCAATGCAATTCTGGGCCTCATCAATAGGAGTATAGCATCTAGATCAAGGGAAGTAATAGTGCCACTGTATTCTGCTCTGGTCAGACCTCACCTGGAGTACTGTGTCCAGTTCTGGGCACCACAGTTCAAGAAGGACACTGACAAACTGGAACGTGTCCAGAGGAGGGCAACCAAAATGGTCAAAGGCCTGGAAACGATGCCTTATGAGGAACGGCTAAGGGAGCTGGGCATGTTTAGCCTGGAGAAGAGGAGGTTAAGGGGTGATATGATAGCCATGTTCAAATATATAAAAGGATGTCACATAGAGGAGGGAGAAAGGTTGTTTTCTGCTGCTCCAGAGAAGCGGACACGGAGCAATGGATCCAAACTACAAGAAAGAAGATTCCACCTAAACATTAGGAAGAACTTCCTGACAGTAAGAGCTGTTCGACAGTGGAATTTGCTGCCAAGGAGTGTGGTGGAGTCTCCTTCTTTGGAGGTCTTTAAGCAGAGGCTTGACAACCATATGTCAGGAGTGCTCTGATGGTGTTTCCTGCTTGGCAGGGGGTTGGACTCGATGGCCCTTGTGGTCTCTTCCAACTCTATGATTCTATGAGTGTTGCACTAGGACGGAGGAGACCAAGGTTCATATCCCCACTCAGCCATGAAGTTCTCTGGGTGACTTTGGGCCAGAAACTATCTAACCTACTTCGCATGACTGTTGTGAGGATAAAATGGGAAGTTGGGTGGGTGTGGGAAAGAGAACCATGTATACTGCCTTGAGCTTCTAGGAAGAAAAGTGGGTATCAATCTAAAAAATAAATTAAAACAGTTACATAACTAGCATTCCATGAAAAGATTATAGCCAAGATTATAGCTCCAGCTGTGCAAGTTTCTCACTTGGAGAGAGGGTTTGCTATTTATTTTATTTGTGTGGTTTTACTTAGAAGAACATTAGAAAATGCATCTCCCTGCATACAGTCAGAAGTGACTTAGCCTGTTCCACCCCTTCAGAGTGCAACTTGCTCAGGTAACCCAGTAAGCTTTGCAGGCAAGGAAGGATTTGAAACTGGGTCTCCCTGCTTCCATTACCAGCCCTCTAATCTGCCGCCTAGAACTAGCCATTTCCACCTCAGCTCCTGGCAATGTAGAAGAGGCTTAACCTGGGCCCCCAACCCCCTCCTCCCCACCATACCACAGGCTTCCTCTAGAGTCCCCTCCAGCACCTACTGCTTGGGCATAGGCACTCAGCGCCTGCTGGGAGATCTTGGGGTTCTGCCCTGAATTGAAGAACAAGGAGAGGTAGGCATTGCCCAGAACATCTGTGGAATACAGAGAGCATAATTAGCAAGTTGCACAGCCGGTTCCCTTCCTTGCTCTATCCCATCCCACCTCAGGACCACCTGAAAAGGGGCGCATGACAGACTCACACCAGGAGCGGCCATCGCACACATCCATCTGCACCGCCAGCTTGGCCTGCCGCACGCTGTCCATCACATTGTGTGCATGCTCATCAGCAGAGTTTGTGCGCAGCTGCCTCAGCACCATAGAGAGATTCTGCAGGGAGGCCTTGTTCTTGCACTGAAGAGAAAAGGGGCAGGAGAAAGACAAGGCTTCTGCAATTAGCAAGAATTCAAATCCTACCTAGTGAAATGCAAAATATGACTCTCACTTCCCCAAAGTATTCCTTGAGGTATGTCCTTTGGCTTAATAGTCCTGGCTTGAAGTGCCAAACAGCTCTCCAAACTAGAATCACCACCTGCCCAAGGGAGGACTGAGGGGGGACTTACATGGCTAAGCGCTCCAGAGAAGCAGGTGTGGGCAGCAGAGACATCACCCTTTTTCCAGTAAACTTCCCCTAACTGATTCCAGGCTTCTACCAGTTCTGGGTCCAGCTTGACAGCTTTGGAGAGCAGCTCTTCAGCCTGAGCATTATAATCTGGGGACACATTCAAGGCTTTCCCCTTCAGCATCAGTGTGTGAGCTCGACCCTTAGACAGGCCTAGCAGAGGATGGGAGAAAGAGAGATGCCGTAAGTGAACTGCAAGTCCATGAAATCCACACTGTGCTAGAAATTCAGTCACCGAGCTCATCCAAAAGAAATAATAATAATAATTTTATTATTTGTACCCCGCCCATCTGGCTGGGTTTCCCCAGCCATTCTGGACGGCTCACAGTGGAATATTAAAAACACGGCAAGATATCAAACATTACAAACTTCCCTAAACAGGATCATACATAACCACCCTAATGCCACCAGGAGCACAAATAATCAGGAATGCACAATAAAAAGGACATCTGCAGAGCCTCACAGCATATGAGGAAGGAGGAGGAGGAATGGTATACAAGTTGGAGAAAGGAAAATGCTGGTTCTGTTGAGATTTACCTTCTAATGCTTCCATTTTCTGAAGAGTCTTCTCCATCTCCTCCTGTACATCCTGCTGCTTTTTCCCAGCATCTTCCACCTTGTGGCTCTCAAAATAATGGTCTCGGAAATGATATAGCTGGTCAACCAGTTCCTATCAGGAAATCGCCAAACAGGGAACGTTACCATCAAACCAGAGCAACAATGTCTTGCCGATACACAGAATGCACCGAAAACAGAAGCTAAACACACACTTGTCTATCACTACCTTGACATTTGATGGTGGTTAACGGATGCCAAAGGAAGCATGTATGGGAAATTTGTGCAAAATGAGGTGTCTTTAGTTTTCCATTCAATATTGTTCGTTTCCAGGTTCCAGCAGTCTAGAGTTGCTCAGGCACGAGCCAAAAAACCCCCCAACTTTTAAAGACATGGCTGAGCACTCCACACCCTTGATTTCAATAACTAAGCTCTGAAAGTGATAAGAAAAGGGGTTGAAATAAATGACCCTCAGGGAATTGGACTAGATGCCCCCCCCCCCGCCAACGTGCTACGAGTCCTGGTCCTCAGTGGCTTGAGGGGCGAGCAAAACCGAAGTACAAAGAAGAACGGGCAGAATCCTATGCAGTCAAAAGAAGGGGCAGGTTGCACCCCCTTCTCTGCATGGTTTCCACATCCACATTCCTCCACTCCCCCTCTCGCTACATCTCCTCCCTCATCGCTTGAAGTATTGTAATGGGGGGGGGGGGATTCCTGCTGGAGAAGCATATTCGGCAGCATATTCCCAGTAAAACACCTGCACGGAGCAGGATGGAACTCCTGGCTGCTGCTTCCATGTTTTGCCAACTCGGGTGGGGGGGCGAGGAAACTGTTCGGATAATATATTGACTTTAGCAGAGGTCAGAGGAAGAAGAAAAACGGTAGGCTTATGACACGGCGAGATGTTTTGCTCGCCCTACCTGCAAACCTTGCCGAGCTTGGGGGTTTTCTTCTTCTTCCTCAGCCATGATCGCTCGAGACTCTCCTCCGTTTCCTGTTATTCTCTTTGCTTGCAACCACGGAGGCTCCTGCAGAGACATCTAAAGGACTGGAGGCCAAACTGCAAGCCACAAAGAGAGGAATCGACCATTCTTCCTGGAAGTAGTGGGAATCATCCAGGCCGTGTTTAAATAAATGTTTTGCATTACACCTGCGTGACAGAGATGTACCTTCTTTTCTTATGCTGTTTCATAGCGATGGTCTTTTGAAAGATAACAGCCGTTCCTTATATTCGTTAAAATAAAATAAAAAACAGCTTGTTCCCTGCCCAATGGAAAATATTCTGTACGTGCTCTGAGACACTGTTTCTGAAAGACGAAGCTGCAGCTATTCAAAAGGAAGCTTGTCATATTTTTCCTTGTGTATTTTCAGCTGTATCTTATGTGAATTGCTTACAGGTTTCTGCGATACAAATGCCATGAAATTACATACTGTATTTGCATTTCATATTAAAATGTTTTCACTAGCAAGACAGAATCCAATCCTTTGCATAGGTGGGCATGCTTAAACCCATTAACTTCAATGGTTTTGTGCAAAAATCATGAAACAGGTTGTGTCTGGGTGCTCAGTGAAATTTTATTTTTATTTTGTATTCCTCCTCTGCTTTCTTTCCCAAGAAATGGATGTTTGTAATTATGGTAATACAGACTAGTTACCCTTTATGCATCTTAATCACTCCATTCTATATATGGTGAGGGTGATATCAGAAGTGTGAATACAAAATCAAATGGTGATTAATCCAGGTAAAATGCATAGAATCAAAGGGGCTGGAAGGATCCAATTATCTGATTTGCAGAGCAATACAAACTCATCTGAAGTCTAGTAAATGCCTAAAATTTTAAAACAGGCTTCCTTAACCTCGGCCCTCCAGATGTTTTTGACCTACAACTCCCTTGATCCCTAGCTAGGCAGGCCCAGTAGTCAGGGATGATGGAAATTGTAGTTTCAAAACATCTGGAGGCCCGAGGTTGAGGAAGCATGTTTTAAAATGACTAACTTTAAAAAGCTATTAGAACTTAGGTTGTATCCAATGCTAGTCCTACTCAGAGTACATCCATTTGAATTAATGAACCTGTTAGTCATGTCTATTCTACTCTAAGTAGGACTAGCATTGGATACAACCCTAAGTTCTAACAGCAAAAACTGCTCATAGTGGTATGTACCAACAAAAAGTGTGTGCACACTAATCAGAGGCAAACACACCAGGCATATTAGATTTTTCCTCCCCACCCCACAAAAAACCTCAACCCCACCTGTTTCAATAAGCAGTGAACAAATTAAACACAGGCTTGCAAACATGTTTATGCACGTAATTGGAGAAAAAAGTACCATTACATTACAACACAAATGTGGCAGTTCAAAGCAATAATCGGGAGGAAAGATCACATAACACATTAGTTGCAACAAGATAGTAATTAAACAATTAGGCTGTAATCCTGTACATCTGTACCCAGACACCACAGAGTTCAATAGACCGTATTACCAGGTAAGTATATGTAAGATTGCAGCCTTGGTGCCAGAAAAAAATGACATGGTGAAGCAAGCTTTCACATTTCACTTTAAGGAATCATAATTTGTGTGAGAGCCAGAGTCATAATTGTATGTTGCAGGGCAGGAATTAATCTTGCTGAGTAATGGAACAATGACAGCATATATGCAACAATATCTAGAGGTGTGGGTGGCTATAGTAACCATTAGCAACAACTGGAACACTCTGCTGAGAGAAAGAAAGAGGCTTAGAAAGGAATTGGTTTTAACTGGAGCATTTACTCCTTTAGTCCTCACTGCAGGCTCTCTTCCTTTAAAATTTGCTACTTCTGAGATTTCAGGAAATTTAACGCACATTAGACTTCACTGAGATCTGGCCTGTGGGTTCTTTTAAAAGCCTCAAGTCTGCAACAAGCATTTCAGTCCAACAAGCATTTCATGCCTAACCTGGATATTCAAAAAGGCCTAAACTTGTCAACATAAGTTACAATTTATATTCTCTTAATTTTATATGCCTTGTTGCCTCCTGCTTGCTGTTCCAAACCATTGCCAGGAGAGGTAAAGAAGCTGTTGCCAGACTGGCCCAGTGGTGGAGAGGCAGCAAAGAAGGGTTTGAAATGGAAGTCCCCATCACCACGCCAGCCCTGGATAGGTGTTGCATTCTCAGAGAACCTGGCAGCATTACCTAGAACATGTGAACAAGAGATATTGTATTAGGGGGATTTAATCTATAAGTAAGCCAATATTAGCCACAGTAGTATGTTAACACAGAGAATACTCAATATATGCCTACAGTTTTACTAGAGTAGAGTAGAGTAGACTGATGGATTGATTGTTAAGCCTCTCTGGGAATTGTAGCTCTGTGAGGAAAATTTAGGAATCTCCTTTTGACTCCTTACAAACTACCATTCCCAGAAATTGAGGCAGGAGGCTATGGCAGTTTAAAGTGGCAAGATCCTGCTTTAAATGTATAGTGTAGATAAGGAAATGATTAGGGCATATTCAGTGAGGTGTGGCACTCAAGAGAATTAACCACAAAAATTGGGCAAAGTTCCATTTGCTTTGCTAGGAGAGACAGAAGAAATGAGTTGGTAACATCATCACCATTGTCATCATAATTTATTATTTATATGCTGCCCATCTGACTGGGTTGCCCCAGCCACTCTAAGCGGCTCCATGTGTCTGGGGGCAAAACTATACTTTTCTAATATACATAGGATTTCCCCATCATGCCTATGTTTCTCTCATATTGCTCTTTGTGGGGAAAAAGTTAAATGCTAGTACAAGTTTAACTACCCAACTGAAAGGCCCCTGTCCTTACCCAAAGAGAAACCAAATACAGGCTGGGACATCATAGGAGGCTCTTGGCCTGCCTCCTGGTTGGCCACAGCAATGTTGCGCAAGCGTAGGCTGTCATAGAGGCCCTGCAGTTTCTGGTACTGCCGATTGCGCTCCATGAGTTTCTCTGAGAGCTCAGTGAATTTCTTTTTGTATTCTTCCAGTACTTTCTTTAGGGAGGAGACCTCACTCTTCATGGAAGTCAGCTCCACATCTTTGCTCTGGAGTTGCTGGGTGTAGACTTTCTCCATCTGCTTCAGGTGACCCTCTGCCTTGCTGTAGGTATATTCTTGGTATAAGCGCTCCTGATGAACCTGCAAGGATAGAAGACAGAGTAAGCAGGAGCATAAGAGCCACTGTGATGTCAGGGCTGAGCAATATGTGCTCGATGTATTCCCCCCTCCCTTGATTCTTTTATTCTTCCTCATTATTTTTCTTCCTTTCTCTTTCAGCTGAAATCTCTAGCAGAAGTTGAGCAGATTGGAGGCTGGAGTAGTAGTACAGTCAAATCTCAGTTGTCAAACGTAATCCATTTTGGAAGAAAGTTCAGCTTCTGAAATGTTATACAACTGAAAACTGAAGCGGAAGCCTCAATAAAATAAGAAAACTCAAAATGGAAGTCACGTAACACATTCGGCTTCCAAAAACCGGAGCAGTTACTTCTGAGTTTTAGGTGTTCGGAGCCAAAACATTCCAAAACGGAGGCGTTCAGGGACCAAGGTTTGACTGTAGCAGTAGTAAATTTAATGTCTATACCTCCCTTCATCTAAGGATCACAGGGTGGTTTACACAACACAAACATGCATAACATAGTAACAAAACAAAGCAAAACAAGAAAAGAAAAGAAAAGAAAAGAAAAGAAAAGAAAAGAAAAGAAAAGAAAAGAAATAACCCCCAACACACAGAGTTTAAAAGGCCATAAATTGTTTAATTAGCCAAAGGTAGTTTCTTAACTATTTTATGTCTGGTTTTTCTGTTACAAATCCACCCCAATCTGCATCTCCTCTTGATAGTGAAAAGATAGAGTACAGCTAAATTTTCAAAACCTTAAAATTCCATTGGTGTTTACCTGGTATGTCCAGAAAGCCAGAGCCCTGGAACTGATGTCCAGAATAATCTCTGGTCGCAGTCCAGATAGGACCATGGCTTTGTATTCCTCAGAAGGACTGAGTTCTGTTCGAACAATATCCAGTTTACCAGAAAGAGCACTGGTGCAAGCAGGGCAGACTGCAGGCGAGCGGCTAAATTCCCCACTGCCATGTTGGTCACAGAAAATATGTGAGCAGGCTGTGACCCATGCGTAGCCTGAAAGTTTGACTCGGCATTTGCGGTAATTGCAAAGAAGCATATCCTCACAGACTGACATGTTTGATGGAGCCAGTGCAAAAGTTTTACAAGTACTTTTTATGCGATGGAAAGGTAGCGCTCACCATACCACACCTATAAAATGAAATAAGTATTAATGCTAGGATTTTCAAATTGCTTATAGGCTATGGCTGCCTGGCGGAGAACTGGACTTAAGATCATTATATGTTCATTTAGCAGATCTGCAATTCAGATTACCTAAAAGATTGCCTCCTCCTATTACAATATATGTCTACCTGAACCTTAAGATAGTCTTCTCAGGCCCTGCTCCTGGATCCCCTAATTGAAGTCAGTTGGATGGATTCCAAGGACAGGATCTATTCAGTGGTGACACCTCAGCTACAGAATAGCCTCCTCAAAAGATGTCTGGTGCCTTTTTCAGCACCACATTAAGACATTTTTTATTGACTCAGGCTTTACTATTGCATTTTGAATCCATGCAGTAGCTCACCCCCAGCCACCTGAATTCAGTGGCATATTGCCCACAGCTATCATGGCCTTTGACAGTCAATAAATTTGTCCAGTGTCTAAGCTCATCTAAACAAGTGACCATTGCCACATCTAAATCAATAAATAAAAATCATGTGACAGCAAATTCCATAAATTATGTGCTGGGTACTGAAGCATGTCTTCCAGACTTGGTTGTAGGAGATCATTTTTATAGTACTAGTTCTGTCATGGACTTTAGGGAGGATGCTAGGCAAGTCATTTTCTCTGCCTCAGTAAGATCCCCATCTGTAACATGGCATTTATTTTGTCCTGTTTCACAGGATTGTTACAACAATGAAAGCAGTAAGACTGTAAAGTATGTTGCAACTTTGACATACTGTACGAAAAAACAATCCGTAGTACTTTCTTTACTGTCAGTGAGTTCTAAAGGGGGAATATATTGTCAATTTGGGGGAGGGGGTGGAATCACAAAATGAGTTGTATCTGTTATTCAGACTTGGAATAATCTCAGTGAAACTAATGGATCAAGGGTTGTATCTGTCGAGTTCCACTCATGCAATAGGACTTCCCCTTCCTCTCATGCACCCCCAAAATCTCCACAGATCCTCCGAAACGGGCTTTAAGAGTGCACAGGGGGCTGCTGAGGAGATGGAAGTTTTGTTGCACAAATAGAACAACAATGTTGAATACAACCAGTGCTTTCGTTTCATTGGGTTACTCAAAGGTATGCAGTACCGGCACTTCCTTTTAGCCTCTTTGGTTAAAAAGTGTGACACTTAATGTAACAACTTCATGGCAAGTACAGGCACCAATTTTCTAGGGGGGAAAGCACTGGATACAACCCATACTAAGTTCCATTAATTTCAGTGGGCCTACTCTGAGTAGATACAGCCCAAGGAGTGCAAAACAGCCAAGAGACCAATCATCCAGTTCACCTTTTAAAGCATATTCAAAACACACTGTCCCTTCCAACTCTGCAATTCTGTTGTTCTTCTCCTTGAAGAATTCTAGGCACTGTGCTTTTCCCTACAGTTGCACTTTCCAACAAATAACAGTGCCCAGAATTCTTTGAAGGAAAGGATGCTCTTCACCCTCCACACCCCATGCCCATCCACAGAGGATTTTTTATAATATTTATATACTTTAAAAACACACACACATTAAGCCCACTTTTTATTCGCAACACATCAGTTCAATACTAAAACACTACCCACTGTTCTTTTTTCTTACAGTGGGAGGCAAGTCACAGAAATTTAACAGACTTTAAATTTCCCTTCAAGGAGCATAAAATCCTGCTGGATCAGACCAAGTAGCCCCGTCTAGTCCAGCATCCTTTTTCTCACAGCAGCCGACCAGAAAATGCCTTTGGGAAGCCCATCGACTAGATAAGATTAACCAGATGTACTTCAGCCTCCCACACAGCTGTCACGGTGTGAACAAAAAGTGGCACTCTTGAGTAAACAATAAAAGTTCAGCGAGTAGCTATTTTTGGCGGGGTGGGGCGGGGTGTAAAAACAAACAAAACCCTGTTGTTTTAAAAGAAAGTAAGCCCGGAAGTTGATGCTTTTGTGACGTAATATATTGAACTCTTTCGAACGAGGTATTTTACTGACATGAGTGCGCAGGCTTGTGAGGCAGTTATTTACAAATGGGAGTCAGAAAGATGGGCGATGGGCGAGGGGGAATAGGCAGCGAAGAAAAGGCGGGAAAATATGTAGAACGCCGAGGTTGGAAAAGAAGAGGCTCACGCGCCGCCTCTTGATTGGTCCCCCGCCCCCCGCGTCTCCAACGGCCGGAGCTCGCGCTGCTTTTCAAACCTACTTTTAATTCCAGCTCTTTTTGCCAACGCTTTCCCTGAGGCGCTAAAGAAGGCGAGGGGCGGGAGAGGGGGGGGAGTGGATAGGAATGCGAATCGCCAGGGGCATATCGCTGGCGGAAAGAAAAGCGAGTTAAGCACGGAACTGTCGTGTTTGTGTTTTTAACTTCTCCACGTCCCCGTCACAAAAATTAAAATGCCCCTCACGTGCCAGTCAGTGAATCATAAACGTTGCAAGCCGGAGTTCTGCAAACAACCAAAAAATGGTTGGATTGCGCGCGCGCGGGCGCGCGCGCGCGCACACACACACACACACAGCCCTCACGCACGCTCCCCACCCCTATGAATCCCAGCTTAGTGTGGTTGCTCCATTTCTGCTTTATATACAGTACTAAGAATAAATAGGCAGTGAAGAGTGTTTTAAGTCATTGCCTCTCTCGCACCCATGCAGTACTTAATCCATTTAAGGCAACTTCAAGCGCAAAAACCATTGTCTGGAATGGACAGTAAAATAACTTTATTAGTCAGACAAAAACAAATCACCAGTGCAAGTTTTCAAAGTCCATCAGAATTGTTCCCGAGCCTAGTATGTATTTTTATGTAACACAATAGAAGCTACATCCAACAAACAAGTTTGAAGTTTCCTGTCCCCACATCAGCCCTTTTCAAAGTGAACTCTGTATTCACAACATCTCTTTGCACCTCCCAGTTCTAGTACTGTACTGAAAATCACCATTTGCAAGTCACAAAAAAAGTGTTATGGGCTGTAAAGGTATCGTGTATATACACAGCCTAATTTTGATGCTTTTATTCCAGGCAAAGCTATGTACCCTTTTGCTATAGCTTTAGCCCAAGGCTGGTAATATTCAGAAGACTGGATTCTTGTGTCTGTTTCAGTATGCGTGAAGCCTCCTAATTGCAGTACCAAATGGCTGAAAACTTATAAAAATTGACAACTCTTCACGGTGGAATATTTGTGGTTTGGACTTTTAACAAATCATGGACCCTTTCAGTTTTTAAAAGGCTTATTTTAGATATGCAGGTGACATTGCTCCCATCCAAATAAAACTGAAAAATTACACTGCATTTCAGCTCACCGAGCACAAGCGATGTTCCTATTTTCACCAACCCAATAACACTAGGTAAATACGCTGTGTGCTGCAATTCCAACTTGTTTCCTTGGTTCTCTCAGGAACATTATTCCAGCAGCACACTTAAAATTTAACCTGACTCCATTTAGACGAATCCTATCCTATCCTGCTACAAACCTGTATAGCCATCCTCTCCCCTCTCATGGCTTTTAAGGTTTGTGTCTCAACTAAAGGGTAGACTCTTTTAACTAGCCACTTGATATGTTGTATCTCTAACAGACTTTGTTAATTTGAATATTGAAAAGATGTCACAACTATAAAAGATGTCATATGCTTTGACAAGGCTCTAAAATTAAAGTGTCAACTTAGATGAAAACTTTGTCATTGGCTACACTAAGTTATATTCAAGAGAAAACCCACTGAGATTAAGGAACGTAACTGATTAAGGTCTAATAATTTCAATGGATCTGGTTGAGTACAACTAACACTGGAACAGTCCTTTTGTTTTCAAAGTTGCAATGACTTGTGAATTTGTAAAAGAAAGCACCCTGTTCACAACTATGTATTTTGGGTGAGGGTGTACAAAGCAGGTTTATGGCATCAAGATGGCGTTTTTATCTCCAAATGTTGGTTTTGAAAAACAGCTTTTCTCAGAGTAAGATACAACATGTGCTAGAGGGAGCTATTTTCCATGTACACTTGTTCACCCATCTTCAGATATGTGGCACTGTTTTCCATAACCATATTGATGTAATTATACTCTAGCAAAGAATTTGTGAAAATCTGAAACTCGACCATTTCTTAATTATGAATTGTACACAATTTCAAAAGGTGTTCAACATATACTCCACTTAGTAAATGTGGACGATAATGAGCTACAACTTAATTATTAGGACAATTTTTTTATTGTTGGTGGTCACACATGTAACACTCAAGAGAGTAAGGAGCCACTATCTTGTTTTCACATGTTACAGCAAATTCATCCATCTTCTGTACCACTTTTTTCCATGGTGAAACAGAGAAATACTGTTCTCACTTTCATGCCTGTGTCCAACAAACCTGTGGAAAATGATTTAAACATTTAGAAATAGAAATTCAAGCTTCCTGTTAAAAAGCTAGGCAATCACAGCTCAGTTATTCCATTAAAAAAACACTCCTTTTGGCTTGCTGGCTCATGATTTAAAGCTTCACGTTTGCATTTTTCAGAATGTCTGGCCCCGCAAAATTCAATAGTGCCAACAGACAGCCAACCCATCCAAAGGCACATTGAGTGAAGAAAGGCCAGCTTTAATATTTGATGACACAAAATCTCACCGTCTACGGCTTGCGACAGCAAGAGGAACAGTCATCATGCATTTACACTTTTGAGCACACTTACCAACCCCTGCTCCACCCACCCCTATTTATACTTCAAATTTCCACTATTATTTTGATGATCCACTCCTTTTAAAGAGTCTGTTGCCCTCCTGAGGATGTTGGACTGTAACTCCCATAGCCCCTAGGAGCTGGTCATGCAGGCTGGAGTCTGAAAACATCTGGAGGGCCAAAGGTGCTTTAGAGGCACTGACATTATCTAGTTTGTTTGGATCCTGCCCATTAGATTTCATACTATGAAAGATAAATTCTACTATATAAACAGCAACTTCTTACAAGACAGTAATCAGTGGTTTGGATGCAAATGTCTTCTGCTAAGTGGCGAGAGAAAAAGCTTCAGTCCTTACATTTTGTAGAGGCTCAGGATGGGGAATGTGCACCGTTGCTGTTTCATCTCTTTAGAATCATCTGCCCTATAAAAGAAAAGAGTGGCAGCTATTTAGTTAGCAAGCATCCTTCTTTAGATCTGACTGGTTCTTGCTCCCCTCTCTACTGTAGAAAATTTGTTTACCACGGAATGGGTCATGTCTCCATACAAAGCAATTTAAATTTTATTCCACTGTCTAATTTCTATTGACTGGGTGTCGTGTCCCCCCCCCCCCCCCAGTCTATAGCAGTGCAAAATCAAGCAAACCCCCCAATCTCTCTTCATAAGAGGGTGAGAGAAGACCACTGTCACCTGACCTACACAGGAAACTGGAGGGTTCGCCCTCCCATCACAAGATAGGAAGAACTCAGTTTTGCACATTCCTGTCTGGTGGAGTGGGAGGGACAACCCATATGAGGATCCCCTCCTCCCTGCAGGAAAATAAGTCACTACGAACCAAACACCAGCCAAAACGTAAATGCTTTTTTCCTTACACCCCTTGGTCTTCTTGCTTCTGTTCAGCAGAAATTTAGGAAGTTTTGGGGAAGTGAGAAGAGCTAAGGGCCATGACCTGGTACAACTTCCAGTTTGAGGAAGAAATCAGCAACTAAAAGCTTGCAATCAGATTTAATCTAATTGGTCCAAATAAATGACCATCTTAACCATTTTTAGAGAAGTATGTCTAACACTTTGGGGGAAGTAACTCTTGAGTTCATCACAAATATGCCTAGATAAATATATTTAGTTGACCCTAGAAAAACAAGAATGGCATATATTTTATAAGATAAACAAGTCATTCAAGTATTGTTGCAATAGGTTACTATGCTGTTTCTGTTATCTAAAGAACATCAAGCCTTAACAAAAAGAAAACATACACTCATCAACATTTTTATGGAAATATCACTTGTGCCAAGGAGAGATCTGCTCAGAGCATGTGCATAATCAGGGTTAATCAGGTGAAACACGGACAGAACATGCAGTTCATCATAACAGGCTCCCCAAGTCTCTTGCCATCTCCTACTTAGCAACCAAGATACCTCAATTTCTTACTTCAAGAGAAACCAAGGTCATACCTTTTTCTCAATATCAATTCCGACTTCCAGAAATCCTAGTATTTTCAGTGTTTGTTCAGTCCATTTTGTATTACAGCTGTTCACTCTATGCAACTCTTCAGGAGACGTATTTGGTGTTCATTTTCCTCCAAACACATGCTCTCTGAAATACAACCACTAGTTGTTATTACTGTTTACATGTGTCTGGCAACAATATCCTTAAGCAGACATACACTCATCAGCATTTTAATAAAAATATCACTTGTGCCGAGGAGAGATCCGCTCAGAGCATGTGCATAATCAGGGTTAATCAGGTGAAACACGGACAGAACATGCAGTTCATCATAACAGGCTCCCCAAGTCTCTTGCCATTTCCTACTTAGCAGCCAAGATACCTCAAATTCTTACTTCAAGAGAAACCAAGATCATACCTTTTTCTCATTATCACCAAATGGACCAAACCCCATGACTTCCAGAAATCCTAGGAATTTCCTGAATTTGTTCAGCCCATCTCTGACTGCAATGGTTCCCTTCAAAGAATTCTTCTGAAGAAATATTTGCTGCTTCTCGAAACCCATGCTCTATGAAAGAAAACCATTATGAACTGAACATAACTTTTGTCAGCCTAAAAGTTGCAGATATAGGCAATGTATCATCATATCGTCCTCTTCTTAGCAATATGTGCACACAATTCAATGACTATACTGAGAAGCAGAAAACTGGAAGCTGTTAGGCAGAGCATGGGCAAATTAATAACTACCCTTCTCCAGCAGAAACATGTGCTATTAACAATCAGGCCAAGTATAATGAGGCTAGAGGTTTTTAGCATCATAACTAATGGGTTTATTCCTAACACATTCAATTTTTTTATCATAGAACTTCTATTCAAAATACAAAAAAAGCCACCCTTGAACCAACCTCTCCATTTTACCATTCTGTACTTTTAAATGAAAGTAATCCACATCATCTTTATGTGCCTCTCAGCCTTTCACCACATTGTTATTATATGCGCAGGCATTTGTACACAGCAAATGCTGGAAACAAATGTGTACTACAAGCAAGTTCAATTTGCCATTCTTATTTATATGCAGGGCTGCCTCTGAAGATAGTTGCTGATTTTTCTTTGTTCTTATTATGTATGCATTTTGTGTTTTTAGCTTGTATTTTTATGTTGCGAACTGCCCTGAGATCTAAGAATGAAGGGTGATATGCAAATTTAATAAATAATATTTACAGAATACACTTGCATAAAAGATCCCTAGGACTACATACGTCCTACCAAACCATGGAGTTGCAAGGGTTCAAATCTCCACTCTGCCATGAAGGTTACTCTCTCTCAGCCTAACCTCATAGGGTTGCTGCGATGATAAAGTGGGGCAGGGAGAACAGCATATAAGCTCCTTGGAAAATGCAGTGATATATAAATGCATTAAACACATACTTTCACAGTGCAAAACCAGAGGCACAAGAACTCCCTTTCACGAAAGGCTTACCCAAATGCACGGACAAGTGAGTGCATTCCAGAAGCACTGCTTTGATGATACAGATGCTTCAGGTAGGAGCCGTCCATTTTTCCGCAGGCTGTAGAAAGCAAGAGAGATGGGGAGAGCATTAAGGGAGCACACAAGCAAGCCTCAACTCTCATTTGGAGAGATTTGGCTCCAATTAAGTCAGTAATGTAAAGTGGAGGAAGAACACAAGACTACAGAAAGGCTTAAGAAATACTGCCTTCTAAGGCCAGAGATTTAATTGCCTTTTCTCCTACCAGGCCTTAAGAACCTTTGGGCTTCTTTTTGCTATTTCTGGGGAATTGTTTATAATGCAGCATCTTCACAACAGGCCTAAGCAAACCCACACTTATTTTTATTCTATTTTTGTACTAAAACCATTTTCACACCACCCATCAATAGGACCCAAACATGGCATTAAGCTTCCTAGTGTAGCAAACTTGCTAGATATCTTGCCCCCCTGAAAAGACCCACCGTGAAGTTTTTTCCCCTCCTTACCAACTCAATGGGCCAGAAGAAAACTACTTCGGAGCGAGCGTGCCCAGTTTCCACCCCCGGACCAAACCCTAAAAGCTTCGTCTTCAACATGTAGCCCGCAATTCATTTCATATCACATCACACCGACGCAATTAAGAAAACGAACACGTGCTCTCTGCGGAAGGGAACAGAAGAGCGAGCCTTGATTTCCACTAGGATCTTTTTCACGGGGAAACACTAGGCACCGACAGCGCTTTCAATGGTGCAGTAATCGGACAGTACCATGCTGCTTTGGAAGCAAGCCCCACTGAAATCAGGGAAGAGCATACTCACGAGCACTAATGCTAGAGTGGGGTGCAGACGATCTGAAAACAAAAATCTAGCAGCCCAACCCCCACCCGCACCGTGACTCTTTCCAAAGGCATTACAAGAACGGATGGCAAGAACTAACCTGCGATTAAGAATGGATTCGATAGCACAAACGACAAATGCTTTCCCAGCGCCAAAGAACCGCAAGGCAGAGGAAGAAGGTAGGCGGGCCAGGAAATACTGGCAGACCGCCTTGGCATTGGCTGAGAAGGCAAGCCAATCATCTCTCGAGAGACTGGGCGCTTTTGTAACACTAACGCAATAATACAATTTGAGTGAAAGACTGTGAACGAGTCGTGATCTTACTGTTGCAAGTAGGTGGCGCTAATAAGGCCTTTCCTTGGCTTTGCTGCATCATTCAACCCAAGAAGAAGGATACAGATTGTAAAGAATGATTACTTTCCATCAGCACTCCAAGGGTTAACCGTTAAACTAGTAGCTGGAATCTGCTTTTTTTTTTTGTACACAGCTGCAATCATAGCTATGTGGGTGCCTGCAGTACTTTCCCAGAAAGACAAAAAAAAAAATCTTAACAGCACTTTTCATGCTATTCTTAGTGCATAATAGAAAGCAGTTTTATTTGTATTTATTGTTAAATTTTCACCCTGCCTTTATTCTAAACAGCTTAGCACAGAATAGATCATAATATAAGAGCCTGCTAGATAGTATTTGAAATTAATTTATTCAGATTTTCAGTCTGGGTTGGGGTGGGTTTTTTAGGACAAGGAAAGAAGGGGCAGAGATCTAAGACAAAATGTTGTTCTAGTTCTGGTGTTTATGCACATTTCAAAATATAGCATCCTGATGCAGTCAATGACTGGTTGCCACATCTAGAAACTTTTCAAACCACACAATTCAATAATGTCTCAAGATTAGATTAGATAAGTCATGTTCTCAAATATCTAAATAGCAATACCCCAAATGTTTGTATTGTTCTTACAGCAACTCCATACTGCTCTGGAAAATTGACTTACTTATAAATGTTGTTTCAAATGAATTCATTTAATTATTGTTTTCTTATGAAGCAAGGGCCTAGGCATGGACTAATACAAACTATGAGTTCTATGTGTCAGTCTTATATGTGGTGTTGCTTCATTGCTTCTTTTTAGTATCTAAGACAAAAATGTTCCAGTTCTAGTGTTTGTGCACATTTCAAAAAAGCATTCTGATGCATTCAAGGACTAGTTACCACATGTGGAAGCTTTTCAGACCACACAATTCAACAATCTCTTGAGATTAGATTAGATAAGTCATGATGGTCAATAAATAGCAATACTAAATAGCAATACTTTCGCAAACCCCAAATGTTTGTATTGTTCCTACAGCAACTCCTTAATGATTTTATGACAAACCAACTTTAAGCAAGCATTTTCGAATTTGACCTTCTGGGTGTTGACATAAAAAGAGCCCTGCTGGATCCAGACAAAGGCCAATTTATAGTTGTGTCCACAATGGTCAGCTAGATGCTGCCTGGAAGCCCCCAAACAACATAGTGGCAATAACTGATATGATAAGGCTACAAGGTTAACTGGATGACCAATTTAAGCCAGGGTCAAGCAACAGAAGATGCAAAATACATCATTTATCACAGTTCCATATATGAGGCAATGGATGTGCTGAGCCTTGCCTTTCCTAACTAATGAACTAAATGAGAGCCAACAAATTGAAGCTCAACAATTCGTTCCATCTCTTAAAAAAAGGGGGGGGCTCAACATGTCCACGAATGCTCTGGAGGGTGGCAGATGGGAATGGGCCTTTTCTGTAGTGGCTCCCCATTTGTGGAATGCTCTCCCCAGGGATGTTCAGCTGGTGCCTTCATTATACAGCCTTAGGAGTCAGACAATAGTGTTCCTCTTAAACCAGGCCTTTGGCTGGTTGACATCCGATACCCTTTTAAAGGTGGTGTGGGAGAGGAGGTTATTGGTTAAATATAAAGCATATTTTGGGGGCCCTTGGGGTCTCCCACACCTTGAAGCCCTTCTCTGTGCACCCCCTCCAAAGGAGGTGCCAAGAATGGCAACAAGAGAAGAGCCCTTTCTAGTAGTAGCCCCTGGTTGTGTCATGCTCTTCCTCATTAGGCTTGCCCGCCACTGATGTTATTAGCTTTTGAATGCCAGGCACATACATTTTCTCCTGGCTTCTGATTCTTTGAATCGATGCGATTTCTATCTATTGCTTTTATTTTTTTTATTTTAAAAAATTATATTCCACTTTCCACATCATAGGTCTCAAGTTGCCTGTAACAATTAAATGTACAATATACACAACTTAAAACATCACTTAAACTTCCAAAATTTAAAGTCTAAAGAATTTAAAAACTCTCTCCTTCTGAAAAGAATAACCACTGGCATTGACCATTTTAACCGTCTGAGATGCATTCAGGATCCAAAGGCCTCCTGAAAAAGAACAGTTTTGAACAGACCTCTTAAACTCAGTAGAGAGAGTGTCTGCCTAGCTTCTTGTGGCAGGACGTTCCACTGAAGGCACAGCTCCTTGTTGACACAAGACATGCTTGTGGTCCATAGAGAAGCACTAATCATGCTCCCCTAGTGATCTCAGGGATACCTTAGGCTATCTCTGAGGTATCCTGGGCGTAAAGTTTTCAGGGATTTGTACACAAGTGCAAGAACTTTGAACCAAGCCTGTAGCTGATGCAAAGTCAGTGGAGGTCTTTTAACAGTGATGACATGTGTTTGTGATGTTTGTGGTGGTCATTATGTTTCAGGGCCTGAGACATTTTGGCATGTGAGGTGTCCCCCCAAATAGCTCCCCCATTTCCATCAGGGAAGAATGGGTGGAGGAAGACCTGCATCAGGGACAAGGGTACAAGGAGGGAAGAAATGTTGACAGCTGCTGCCTCAGTACATCCTGCCGCCTGAGGCAGTCACCTCACCTTGCCTCATGAGTGGACCGGCGCTGTTCTATCTTTGTGAACACTTTCAGCTGGGGAAGGATAGATTTCCTTATTGCATTGTGGGTAGACGAACGCTTTAAATTTTTACATTTGGCTTTATTGCATCTGGTTGAGATTTATGGCATTTTTCAATTACTACCTCCTGGGGGGCAAAAAACATGTGATGCAAAATTAGAAAGCGCATCAGGATGTGTACCTATATAATAATGAAGTAAATGAAAATCAACATACAGACACTCCCACTTATTAGCCTTAGGAAGCAGGTTTTCCTTTGCTCCTCAGACAAACCTAACTTACAGAGGTGGGGAGAAAACAGAGTTGGGGATCTTCCTGGACAATGAAAGCTTAGATCAAAACTATGTTCTGCACATCCCAATCCCAAAGTGGGGAGAGACTCCTGTGATTCATGTGCTTACCCAGAATTCAGTTTCCTTGGACTGAGGGGTACTGAACACTGTGCTGTACTGTATATACAACCTTAGCATAGGATGGGGGAACACAAAACATTAACACTCCAAGAGATCTTGCTCCCCCATTGAGTTTACTGGGAAGCCCCCAACTCAGCTTTGTGTCCTGCACAGAGCAAGACAGAGAATGAGAGAGAGACAGAGAGATCCACTTCTTCAGTGCCATTCATAATCTTGTAAACTTCCAAAATGTCCATTTTTTTATTACTGAATTCAAAAGTCACAAACATGTTAGACCTTTGTTACAAAATTATCAAATAACTGTGTCGTTTAGTGGCAGATCAGCCCACCATTCATCATTTGTGAGAAGGGATTGTGGAGAGAGAGAGACAGAGAGACCCAAGGATCTATGCCTTAGTCTAAGGTTTTTATTTCAACAATAACAATACAAGATAAATAAAGTTCCAACTCTACGATTCTATGATTCTATGGTTCTTTTTAATAAGTTTGAATTTTAAAATTACATTCTTAATTACTCATGCACACTGAAGCAAACACACTGGTCTGGCCATGGAAATCCCTCGAGATTAGATTAAGTAAGTCATGTTGGTCAATACTAAATAGCAATACTTTCGCAAACCCCAAATGTTTGCATTGTTCTTACAGCAACTCCTTACTGATTTTATGACAAACCAACTTTAAGCAAGCATTTTCTAATTTGACCTTCTGGGTGTTGACATAAAAAGAGCCTTGCTGGATCCAGACCAAAGGTCAATTTATAGTTGTGTCCACAATGGTCAGCTAGATGCTGCCTGGAAGCCCCCAAACAATAAGGTGGCAATATAAGGCTATGAGGTTTACATGATGACCACCGTAAAACAATTAAATTGTTCATCCAGTAAATCTCTCAGGGACAAGCAACAGAAGATGCAAAATAAGTCCATTTGTTAGTTGCTTTATCTTGCCCAGGGCAACACTCGCAGTAGCTTTATCCATACCCGTATCAGATTATTTCATATCCATTTCACCATGGCCTCCTAGGTCTCTTACAAATAATCAGAATCAAATTGCATTTCAGTTGTCCCTTGCAAAAAGTCCTCCTTTTTGTTCAACATCAGTTTGAACCTAATAAAATCCGTTGGAAGTTCTACAGCACTGGTACATGCATCCATTCAACTTAATACAATTAATGGGAAGATTACATCATTATGTCCCCCAATATCCTCTATGTGAGATGAGGGGATGAGTACAATGGTACCTCGGGTTAATAACTTAATTCGTTCTGTAGGTCTGTTCTTAACCTGAAACTGTTCTTAACCTGAAGCACCACTTCCCGCTAATGGGGCTTCCCTCTGCCGCCACGCCACTACTGCGCGATTTCTGTACATCAAAGCACAAGGATCGGAGCCCATTTGAGAAATTTATCTTTCCTCATCCTGCTGTAACTGATCCCTGGAGCCCAAGCAGTAAATCCAATCCAAAAATGCTTGCCAGTTCCCAGGGTGATAATAAGCAGGGAGGAAGATTAGTACAAACCAATACCTATCTCCTCAAGATACAAACGTCTTCCTCATAGATTTCCCTACAATGGTGGTGCGGTGGATGGAGAGACCTCATATTACTTATTTGTTTATGTAGTAAAGTTTATTTTTTTAAAAAAATAAATTTTATTTACAGTTTTCAATATTACAATTTCCAAAACCACATTCACATGAAAATAAGCATTTCCCCCATTCATATCTTTCTTTAAAATGAAACAATTTATATACCGCTTGACTGTAGAAAAAGCCTCAAGGCAGTTTACGAAAAAGATAAAATACAGTGGTACCTCTGGTTACATACTTAATTCGTTCCGGAGGTCCATTCTTAACCTGAAACTGTTCTTAACCTGAAGCACCACTTTAGCTAATGGGGCTCCTGCTGCCGCCACGCTGCCACCGCACGATTTCTGTTCTCATCCTGAAGCAAAGTTCTTAACCCGAGGTACTATTTCTGGGTTAGCGGAGTCTGTAACCTGAAGCGTCTGTAACCCGAGGTACCACTGTATTCCAAATATGGCAACAGCATACATGTATAAAAATGCATTCAGGTATTATTATTATTTATTAAAACTCTGTATCACCCTTCATCCTAAGATCACAGGACAGTTCACTTTATAAAAAACAAAAAACAAACATGACATACCAACAAACAAAGAAAATACCCACCCCATTTTAAAAGGCTACAGATTGTTTAATTAGCCAAAGGTTTAGGAGCAGAGCACTTAATTCAGATCTCTTTTATGCATGGATTTTACAGACCTGGGATTCAACCCTTATGGAAAAACTAACTGCAGTACAACAAGAATATCGTACCGAGGGGAGGAATCTTCTTTTCTTACGAAATGGTTTGATTTTATTGAATATGCACAATCCACTGAACATGCTTTCTGTCCACCAGCATCACATGGAATATCATGGAACGATTCATTTGTTTGACCACAACACTAGAAAATGGTATATATTCTAAGTTCCGCTAATGCTATATTTTTGTTCCTGGAAGACTCTGCACTCTGAGAAGGGGAGTGGGAGGGTTTCTTGTGACTGTTATCTTCGTTTATCATCTGAAAAGAATCAATAAATGTGTCTTTTAGTTCCAATGTAGGTGGAGCGGTGTGTAGTTTCTCATTAACCCATAGCCTCTTCTATCCTATATAAACAGCAACTGTTCATACATGTCCCTCATTCTCCACCAAGAGAAGCAGTTGCCACCTACTACAAAACTTTCTGTGTGAATACCACGAATACTGGTAAGTCTTGGAGGGATACTGGGCAGGAGCGAAGAGAAACTACTTTAGAATTTGGGGCATAAGGGAGAGAGTACTTTTTTGTGGACCTGCACTCTAACTACCTCTTTATAATTATAAAGGATATAACCATAAACTCTAAGGTTTTTATTTCAGCAATAATAGTACAAGTTAAATGAAGTTCCTTTTAATAATCCAACAACCAGTCTACTAAAACAGACCATGTATTCTAGCAAAAAACCTTGAATCTAAAAATGACATTAATGCATATTCAAGCAGAATCTCTCTCTGCACAGCTGAAGCAAAATCCCAGGGTGTTCCAGGTGGTGCTTCTTTGTGGACCTGTAGTTTAACTACTGCCAATGATATTCCCTGTGTGATATTGAAGTGACATGGAGCCTTCCCCAGTGGCAGAGGAAGGGGGTGGGCCCCCCCGGGTGCCATCTCTGAGGAAGTGTGACAAGAGTGTTCGCCACTGAGTGTTTCTGAATAGCAATGAGTAGGGCTTCGTGAGTCACCAGGAGACAATGGCTATCTCAATGCTTTGTGAAAATTTATTTCATAAGGGAGTTTTGCATTGTGTGGAAATGTATGTTCTTTTGCCTATCACTGACTCTGCTGTCAGGTTATTTTAATAGGACCTCTTGAGCTCTAGAGTTATGGCAGCAGAAGAGGGAGAGAGGAATAGCCACTTCTTTAGTGTCATGCATAATCTTATAAACTTCTGTTATGCCCCTATTTTTATATTCCTGAATCAAAAACACCCAAATGGTGGGGTTTAGTGGCTGATCAGACTACCAACCCTTCTTGTGTAGGGTGAGGAAGAGATTCCTGAATCAATAAAGAATTGGGAAATCTCTTCTCTTCCCCCACAGCCCCCATAGATGTGTACTTCCATCCTCTCCTAGCTCTGAACCTCAACAGTCTGGTACTATAATACTATTGCTGCAGTTCCTGTACTGAGGTTGAGGGTAGGCAAGTAAGTTTATCTGCCCCTTCCAGTGCTGTATGGGTGAAAGGATGGTGTCAGTTTATGCACACAATGAGATTTTGCTCCTCTTTCCAAGATATTCTGAGCTGTTAGGCAGTCTCTTCCCATCACAGCTGAGATAGGAATTAATTAGAACAGCAGTTACCAGCATAGCACTCATGAGTACCTGGGTGCCCTCGTATGGTGCCCACAAAAGGTCTCGGTAAATATCCCCTCAAAATCAACTGGCTCAGCCTCTCCATTTAATGGGGCTTCAGTATTGAAGGCCCACTCTCTCATATGTTCTGAACAAGGAAGAGGTGCAAAGAGCTTCTCTTTGTGAGCAAGCACAGCAGTGATGGATATAGGTGTTTTAGCCACACTGAACCTTCAAACTAGCATTGATTTTTTGCAAAATCTGGATCTTTCCTTTCCTAAACAGCCATTCCCTAAAATCACAAGGCAAACTGCTTTTAAAAGTGATCAGCCTGTTAAACGCAATTTATATTCCTTGGAAGGGGTGGGTTGGTCTCTTATCAAATGGAGAGAGAAATAGATAGAGAAATATGTCTTGACAAGCAGTAGATGTTTGGTTCGTCTTTCAAAGCACCTCACAATTAATTAGTAATCATTTACCTTTAGCATCATATTTGGCACTGGCAGGTATATTGTGTTAAGGCAATGAGACTGTTTTCCAAGAGGTCAGCAAATTCTGTTAAATCTTTCATCATTAAAAATAATATAATAATAAAGTAATTACAAAGAGTAAATGAATGATCAATTTGTGAAATCTTACTGAATACATTGCTTTCTTTTCCTAGAATCAAGCACCATGCCAGAGATAGTCCCTAAGAACAAAGCCCCAGGGGTTGATTTCTGTGGGGTAGATGAATATTACTACATTGTCCGCTCAGACCTGGGCTGCTACATGAGGTCCACCAATTTCCATGAGGGCAAAGACCTTGAAGTGTTTAGCCTGCATAGTTCCTGCACGGGAGGAGATCACTATTTAGCCCATGAGGATGACCTATTCTACATCATCAAAGGAGACAACTATCGCCGTGTCAGCAACATGAATAAAGACCTAGATGCTGTAATATACAGCCTCCATCCCAACTGCCGCGGAGGAGACCATTACCTCTCAGCCTTTGGATCCTTCTATATCATTTTCCAGAAAAGAGGTGTTTACCGTCGGATCACTAATATGCATGAAGATACAGATGCAGTTGAATACACACTTCACCCAACTTGCAAGGATGGTCTCTATTACTGGGGCATCAAGGATTACTATTACTTTGTAAAACCCCATGATGAATGGGGGGTCCAGTACTATAGATGCACCAACTTCCACGAAAATGTGGATGCTGTTACATACTCCTTCCATAGAGATGTTGTGAACATGCTCCCTGGAGGAATGGCTATTACCTATGGTCCAGCTTATGGTAAGTGGGAAGCTATCAAGACCATCTCCAATGACTCCAACACTCCCATTGTATGGAATAAGAAGATCACTAAGAAAGTGGGATACAACAAGAAGGAGATGAGCAGTGTGGAGCACAACTGGAAGATTTCCATGACTGCCTCATATCAGTCAGGCGCACTCACTGAGGCTATTGCGAAGTACCAGTTCTCTCTCACTGCTGAGTATGGTGGGAAGAGTGTCAACACAGAGCAGGAAGACTGGAATGAAGCCACTGAGATCGAAGAAGCTATTAATTTGACCCTGCAGCCCAATGAGAAGATGTACATATGGCAATATCAGCTGGGTTTGGGCAAGGAAACGGTCTTGTTCTGCCGTGATATGAAATTTACGAATGATTCTACTCCACCTACAGATATTCCTTTGCCACCTTCCAATAAGTGAAAAGAAAAGTGTTAGGCCAAAAGGCATCTTCAAAGGCTTCCTTTCTTTTATAACATTTAATTGATTACTATGGGCTAATATTTAGACAATCTAGAGCTCTTGTAATGGGGAGTTAGCTGAGTAGTATATAGACATGCATAAGCTAAACACGAAGTAGATTAATGATTACTATTATATACTCTCATATGGACATACACATCCTGCTAGGCTACAGTTAGAAACGCATATCCTAGTTTGTGCATGATGCAGGTGATCCAAGCTTAATGCCTTTTAGATAAGCTACTATTTCCCTGGTGCCTATGAATCACTTTGTCAAATTTGTGCCTTCATCTTAATTTGTACCTGCTGAACTCTGGAATCTGTCCCACTGTTCTACAAATCAAATAAAATGAATAATCAGTGGTTAAAAAAATGTGTTCTGTGTGCTTTTCACACTTGTGTACAAAATGATTTTCAACATATATTTCCCAGAAGACACAAATACCTTCTTCCTTTTTCCAGAGTGTATTGAGGAAGTGGGGACCTCTGTGTACAATTTCATGCTGGTGTGCCGTCAGAGACCCTCACTTTTTTACATCATAGTTGTTAGCTGGCTCCAATTTTGAGGGTTGGCTTCGTTCAGAGATGGGTCCAGGGGCCTAATCCAGCACCACAAGCACATTTTTATTTCCACTTCCCAACCAAACCCACAATCCCACTAATTCGGCGGCAGCAAAACCAATCTAAAGATCAGACACAGTGTTCAGGTGGTCAGAGAGATTTATGCATGTGTCCTGTGTTCACAGGCATGAGAGTGTGAGGTGACCACAGCCACTTTGGGTCACTCACCAATGACATGCTGGTCCTGGAGAGCTTCCTAAGGGTGAATGTGCCCTTATAGCTAAAAAGCAATAGCCCTTTTAGCCCCGCCTCCTCCCTGTCCTAGAGTTTCTAGAAAGGAAATGTTTTCTTTTCTCTGGCTGCTGATTGATTACTAGCCCCAGTTCAAATGCTGGTTTCGACTTACGTGGTTCAGAATCTCAGTACCTCAAGGACCTCCCCTTCCCATATCAACCTACCTGAACTCTGCAGTGATCACTTGAAGCCCTTCTCTTTGCACCCCCTCCAACGGAGGTGCCAAGGGGAGCAGCAAGAGAAGAGGCCTTGCTAGTGGTAGCCCCTGGTTGTGTAGAGCTCTCCCTCATTAGGCTTGACCACCACGGATGTTATTAACTTTTGAATGCCAGGCACATACATTTTTCTCTTGGCTTCTGATTCTTTGAATCAATGCAATTCCTATCTTCCTTTTATTTTATTTATTTTAAGAAATTATATCCTACTTTCCACATCATAGGTCTCAGGTTGTCTGTAACAATAAAATGTACCATATACAGAATTTAAAACATCACTTAAACTTCCAAAATTTAAAACATCAAGAATTTTAAATCTCTCTCTCAGAAAAGAAAAACAACCACCAGCAGTGACCGTTTTAAACTTCCGAGAAGCATTCAGGAAGCAAATGCCCTCTGAAATAAAGCAGCTAGAGTGGGGTGGGAAGAGACCCAAGAACACAGGAACTATTCCTCACTCTAAGGTTTTTATTTCAACAATAACAATGCAAGATAAATGAAATTCCAACTCTACGTTTCCAGGATTCTATGGTTCCTTTTATTAATCCAACAACGTGCCTACTAAAACAGACCATGTATTTCAGCAACTGAGTTTGAATTATATAATTACATTCTGAATTACTCATGCACACTTAAGCACACACACTGGGCTGGCCATGGACTCCCCTAAGCGCTAGATATTAAAAATGGTAGGATTTTGACTTATTGGGATAGGGCAGGAAAAATACAAGCAGCAGAGGAATTAGCCTATGGAAAATGACCTGGCCAAGCTTGAACCATTAAGAAACAATACAGGGCTATTCAGGGCCCTTTGGAAGGCAAGAGAACTGTACTGCCCCCGCTGCCCTGAGCTGTGACAGAGACAGGGGATTTGGAAAGTTGCTAGGGTCACTACCGGTAGGTGTGATGCTGCAGGAAGAGTTGGGGGGGGGGGGGGGCTTTGGCACAAGACCTCAAGTAGCAGCAGGGGAGGAGGCACCACAATTTGTGCTGGCTGGCTGAAGTTATTTTGTGAGAGTTGCCTTGGATTCCAGTGCTGAACTAATGTAGAAAACAAGCCCCTATTGGAGCTTGTTAGGGGCTTGTTAGATGGACTCCCTCCAATTAAATTCCTCTGTAAATACGTGAATAAATCATGTTTCGTAAAGCTTTGGCAGCATCCGCCCTGTCTTCAAATCTTAAAATGAGGTTGAGGGCCAAGCAGATCCCATCAGCCAAGGTCACCCTGAGTCCATGGGTTTAGGCGATAGGGAAGTTGCTTGCCTTTGTTTAGCCCCATCAAAAGGCAAAGGGGGGAGGGTTCTGGCCACCAAGGTGGGGTGGGGGTGGGTCAAGGAATTGTTCACAAAGTGCCCCCAGGTAAAGCCCGGTGGCAAGATTTGGATTTGGAATATGCGGCAAGAGATGGAGTAGGCTGGACCACCAAAGGGAAGCAGCAGGAATCCTGAGCTTCTGTTTTGAAGTGGCCACAGAAACTCTTTTGGGACTTGTGGGTATGAGTTTGGAGACTGCGACTGTTATGTACTGAAGTTCTCACCCTGGGCCAGCAGGGGGATACTATAGATAGTTATGCAAATGAAGGATCAAAAGTGACGTTCAGTGATTGGATAGTTTTTATGCAAATGAAGGATCAAAAGTGACGTTCAGTGATTGGATAGTTTTAGAAAGTTTCTACAGTAATGTTGTACTGGAGCTCTATATAAGCAGGCTGACTGAGCCCTTCTGTTCAGTTCTGTTCTGGCCTCTGAATAAAGAAGAGCTGTTTGAAGAATCGCTATGTCGTCTGATATGTTCACCCACAACTTAACAGCAACCATAATCCTACGAGAGCCCTAGGAAGACTGAATGTGTGAATTAACCAGAGTGGACTGGGAACTGTGGAAAGGATGTTTGATTTACTTAAGAGGAAGATTTCTGTGGAATCTCCAGGCAAACTACTGCAGCAAAGGGAATCTTTGTAGGCCCAGGCAAAGACCTCCTCCCCTCTTGGTGACAAAACGAGACCAAGGACTCACACATCACGACGTCTACTGGGATTTAAAATGGCCATAACTTTTATTATCAATTTCAGATGTAGGAAACCTTGGCTTAGGCATTGGGGGTCTATCCCTCTCAGCCCTGCAGCCAGGGGAACTGAGGCACAGCGAGGTTCATCAGATCAGAGGGGGCACTGCAAAATGCATGTTTACACAGCAAGCCCCCCCCCCCATGCACCTTTGGGGCATTCACTGTGTCAGTCACTCCCTTCACAAACCTCCTTTAACCCTGAAAATGCTGTTGCAAGGGGGGAAGAGTCACCATTTTGCGCTCCCCTATAAGAAAGATAGACTAAAGGATTCCGCCTAAGGTCTAAAACCACTAAAGTTGTGACAATTGCTATGGGGAAGATGAAACGTGCCATGCGGGGGGAATTCCTTCCCAGTCCTTTAACAGCAACCATCATAGGACCGTAGCAACGCCTGCGAACCTGAAAAGGTTAACCTTTAATAAAGCTGGTGATCAAAGAGAGGGTCAGGTGGGTGGAGCTCCAGAGCCAACTGCGCACTCAGAGGAGGCTCCGCCTCATATTCCAACCCCTGGAGTGGAGCAGAGTGAAGCCTGCTCACCTGCGGTCTGCTCACCTGGCCCCGCCCCCAACAGCGCTGCGGATAGGTGTGTTTGATCAGGGGGTTTGGTGGAACCCCCAACGCTCCACGGCACCGGGAAGGTGGGCCACATCCTGCAAATCTCAGTGAGGATCGGGGTTTGCTGCACGCCAGGGGCCTCAAATAGCACCCAGCGAGCGCTTATTCGGACTCTAGGGACTGTGGAGTGATTTACATAGAGGCTTATATAAGAATTGCTCATACAATCTTTCTGTGTGTCCAAAAGTTGTTTGAGATACATAACAGTCTGGCACATGTACTAGAGATGACAGCTGGAGAAGGGGGAATATTATGGAACGATTCATTTTCAACAACACTAGAAAATTGTATATATTCCAAGTTCTGCTGATGCAATATTTTTGTTCCTGGCAAACTCTACACTCAGGGGAGTGGGAGGGTTTTCTTGTGGTTGTTATTTCTGTACATTGTCTGAAAAAATCAATAAATCGTGTATTTGGTTCCAATGTAGGTGGAGCAGTGTGTAGTTTCTCCTTAATCCGTAGCCTCTTCTATCCTATTTAAACAGCAAGTGTTCACACATTTCCTTCATTCTCCACCAAGAGAAGCAGCTGCCACCTACTATAAAACTTTCTGTCTGAATACCACAAATACCGGTAAGTCTTGGAGATTTACTGGGCAGAAGAGGAGAGAAACTACTTTAGAATTTGGGGCATAAGGGAGGGAGTGCTTTTGTGGACCTGTAGTCTTACTACCCCTTTATAATTATAAAGCATATAATCATAAACTTTAAAGTGTTTATTTCAGCAATAACAGTACAAGTTAAATGAAGTTTCTTTTAATAATCCAACAATCAGACTACTAAAACAGACCATGTATTCCAGCAACAGACCTTGAATCTAAAAATGACATTAATGCAAATTCAAACAGAATCTCTCTCTGCACAACTGAGGCAAAATCCCAGGGGGTTCCAGGAGGTGCTTCTTTGTGGACCTGTAGTCTAACTACTTCTTTATAATTATTGGGAGCCAATGATATTCCCTGTGTGATATTGAAGTGACATGGAGCCTTCTGCAGTGATGGAGGAAGGGGGCGAGCCCCCTCCCTGGGTGCCATCTCTGAGGAGGTGTGACAAGAAGGCACCCTACGGGGGTCTCACCCTGCCACTCCCAGGCGCGCACCGCCATCGTGCTGCCACTGACACGTGCGGACGATCCTCTGCTCGTGGCTGCACCCTTCTCCGCCGTCCGTACAGCACTCGAGCGGTGCCACTGGCAAACCGACCAGTGGCGCATGCGCGGCGCCGCTCAAGCGCCATACAGTGTACCCTAACCCTTCACCACCGCTGCAGCCGCGAGCGAAGGTTCCCTCTGATGACTCTGCAGCTGCGAGCAGAGGATCCCACCGCCATACATACGATGCGAACGCATGTGTGGTATGTAGCAGTGCACACATGGTACGTAGCAGCACACGCACATGCGCCAGCAGGCTGTTTGCCCCGCCCCCTGCCCTGGGTGCCTGTTCTCCTTCCTTCGCCACTGGCTTCCCTAAGGCTTTAGGGATTGGTATATCTGGTCCCTCCAGCAACCAGAACTCAGTCTCCTCTAAATGTCATGAAACACCTTGCAGGATGAGATCATGATGTGATCCAGAGGCAGAATCCCCATTCCTACCAGATTCTGAACTCATATGCAACATCTTGGGTTTGGAAGGGGCCCATGGGTATCTTTGAGAACGCAGATGGGACTGGAAGGGGCCTCTGGGTAGGGGAAGGATTCAGCAACAGAGAAGCTAGAACTCCCTGGAACATTTCTTTTGTAAATAGCTTATCAAGTTTATCTTATATTAGGAACATCCATCCCGACTTCCAGATCTCTTTCAGAATACAATCCTATACAAACTGAGGGTTTCTGAATAGCAATGAGTAGGGCTGCATGAGTCACCAGAAGACAATGGCTATCTCAATGCTTTGTGATTATTTATTTCATAAGGAAGTTTTTCATTGTGTGGAAATGTATGTTCTTTTGCCTATCACTGACTCTGCTGTCAGGCTATTTTAATAGGACCTCTTGAGCTCTAGAGTTATGGCAACAGAAGAGGGAGAGAGGAATAGCCACTTCTTTAGTGTCACGCATAATCTTATAAACTTCTATTAGGCCCTATTTTTATATTCCTGAATCCAAAACACCCAAATGGTGGAGTTGAGTGGCTGATCAGACTACCAGCCCTCCTTGTGCAGAGTGAGGAAGAGATCCAAGAACACAGGATGTATACGTCACTCTAAGCGTTTTATTTAAGCAATAACAGTACAAGTTAAATGAAGTTCCTTTTAATAATACAACAACCATTCTACTAAAACAAACCACGTATTCCAGCAGCTGAGTTTGAATTTAAAAATGACATTCATGCATATTCAAGAACACTTTCCTCTGCTGAGCTGTAGCAAGATCCCAAGGTGTTCCAGGGACTCACCCAGTGCTCCTTTGGAGAATTGAAGACATGGTAGAGACTGTTGTAGCTTTAAGAAATATGATTTATACACATATTTAAACCTTCAGTCTGCATGGAGGGGGTGCAGATCTTACAGCATGGCAATCCCAAGCAGGGATGCTCATCTAGTCTTAACAATCTGCACCTCCTGGACACGTTGGTGTTAGAAGGAACAAATCAGACGCCACAAGAAAATACGAGGAGGAATAAAGAATTGGGGAATCTCTTCTCTTCCCCCACAGCCCCCATAGATGTGTCCTTCCATCCTCTCCTAGCTCTGAACCTCAACAGTCTGGCACTACAGTACTATTGCTGTAGAGCATTAACTACCAAGGTTGAGGGTAGGCAAGTAAGTTTATCTGCCCCTTCCAGTGCTGTATGGGTGAAAGGATGGTGTCAGTTTATGCACACAATGAGAGAAGCAGCTTCAGATCTGAATTTTGCTCCTCTTTCCAAGATATTCTGAGCTGTTAGGCAGTCTCTTCCCATCACAGCTGAGATAGGAAATTAATTCGAACAGCAGTTACCAGCATGGCACTCATGAGTGCCTGGGTGCCCTCGTATGGTGCTCATAAAAGGTGTCGGTAAATATCCCCTCAAAATCAACTGGCTCAGCCTCTCCATTTAATGGGGCTTCAGTATTGAAGGCCCACTCTCTCATACGTTCTGAACAAGGAAGAGGTGCAAAGAGCTTCTCTTTTGAGCAAGCACAGCAGTGATGGATATAGGTGTTTTAGCCACACTGAACCTTCAAACTAGCATTGATTTTCTGCAGAATCTGGATCTTTCCTTTCCCAAACGGCCATTCCCTAAAATCACAAGGCAAACTGCTTTTAAAACTGATCAGCCTGTTAAACGCAATTTATATTCCTTGGAAGGGGTGGGTGGGTCTCCTATCAAATGGAGAGATAAAAAGATAGAGAAATATGTCACGACAAGTAGAAGATGTTTGGTTCGTCTTTCAAAGCACCTCACAATTAATTAGTAATCATTTACCTTTGGCATCATATTTGGCACTGGCAGGTATATTGTGTTAAAGCACTGAGACTGTTTTCCAAGAGGTCAGCAAATTCTATTAATTCTTTCATTATCAAAAATAATATACATTAATAATAAAGTAATTACAAAGAGTAAATAAATGATCAATTTGTGAAATCTTCTGATCTAACTGAATACATTGCTTTCTTTTCCTAGAATCAAGCACCATGCCAGAGATAGTCCCTAAGAACAAAGCCCCAGGGGTTGATTTCTGTGGGGTAGATGAATATTACTACATTGTCCGCTCAGACCTGGGCTGCTACATGAGGTCCACCAATTTCCATGAGGGCAAAGACCTTGAAGTGTTTAGCCTGCATAGTTCCTGCACGGGAGGAGATCACTATTTAGCCCATGAGGATGACCTATTCTACATCATCAAAGGAGACAACTATCGCCGTGTCAGCAACATGAATAAAGACCTAGATGCTATAGTATACAGCCTCCATCCCAACTGCCGCGGAGGGGACCATTACCTCTCAGCCTTTGGATCCTTCTATATCATTTTCCAGAAAAGAGGTGTTTACCGTCGGATCACTAATATGCATGAAGATACAGATGCAGTTGAATACACACTTCACCCAGCTTGCAAGGATGGTCTCTATTACTGGGGCATCAAGGATTACTATTACTTTGTAAAACCCCATGATGAATGGGGGGTTCAGTACTATAGATGCACCAACTTCCACGAAAATGTGGATGCTGTTACATACTCCTTCCATAGAGATGTTGTGAACATGCTCCCTGGAGGAATGGCTATTAGCCGAGGCCCAGCTTATGGTAAGTGGGAAGCTATCAAGACCATCTCCAATGACTCCACCACTCCCATTGTATGGAATAAGAAGATCACTAAGAAAGTGGGATACAACAAGCAGAAGATGAGCAGTGTGGAACACAACTGGAACATATCCATGACTGCCTCATATCAGGCAGGCGCGATCACTGAGGCTATTGCGAAGTACCAGTTCTCTCTCACTGCTGAGTATGGTGGTAAGAGTGTCAACACAGAGCAGGAAGACTGGAATGAAGCCACTGAGATCGAAGAAGCTATTAATTTGACCCTGCAGCCCAATGAGAAGATGTACATATGGCAATACCAGCTGGGTTTGGGCAAGGAAACGATTTTGTTCTGTCGTGATATGAAATTTTCATGTGATTCTACTCCACCTACAGATATTCCTTTGCCACCTTCCAATAAGTGAAAAGAAAAGTGTTAGGCCAAAAGGAACCTTCAAAGGCTTCCTCTCTATTATAACATTTAATTGATTACTATGGGCTAATATTTAGACAATCTAGAGCTCTCATAAGGGGGAGTTAGCGGAGTAGGATATAAACATGCATAAACTAAACATGAAGTGAGATTATTGATTACAGTACTAGACATATTATATACTCTCATATGGACATACACATCCTGCTAGGCTACAGTTAGAAAAGCATATCCTAGTTTATGCATGATGCAGGTGACCCAAGCTGAATGCCTTTCAGATAAGCTACTATTTCCTGGTGCCTATGAATCCCTTTGCCAAAATTGTGCCTTCAAATTAATTTGTACCTGCTGAACTCTGGAATCTGTCCCACTGTTATACAAATCAAATAAAATGAATAATCAATGGATTAAAAATGTGTTCTGTGTGTTTTTCACACTTGTGTACAAAATGATTTTCAACATATATTTTCCAGAAGACACAAATACCTTCTTCCTTTTCCAGAAGCTTTTTCCAGAGGGTATTGAGGAAGTGGGGAGCTCTGTTTACAATTTCATGCTGGTGTGCCGTCAGAAACCCTCACTTTTTTCATCATAGTTGTTAGCTGTCTCCAATTTTGAGGGTTGGCTTCATTCAGAGATGGGTCCAGGGGCCTGATCCAGCACCACAAGCACATTTTTATTTCCACTTCCCAACCAATCCCACTAATTCGGCGGCAGCAAAACCAATCTAAAGATCAGACACAGTGTTCAGGTGGTCAGAGATATTTATGCATGTGTTCAGAATCTCAGTACCTCAAGGACGTCTTATATCAACCTACCTGAGCTCTGCAGTGATCACTTGAAGCCCTTGTCTGTGTGCCCCCTCCAACAGAGGTGCCGAGGGGGGCAGCAAGAGAAGAGGCCTTGCCAGTGGTAGCCCCTGGTTGTGTAGTACTCTCCCTCATCACGCTTGCCCACCGCTGATGTTCTTAGCTTTTGAATGCCAGGCAAATACATTTTTCTCCAGGCTTCAGATTCTTGGAATGGATGCAATCTTTATGCATTCCTTTTATTTATTTATTTTAAGAAATAATATCCCACTTTCCACATCATAGGTCTCAGGTTGTCTTTAACAATAAAATGTACCATATACACAATTTAAAACATCACTTTAACTTCCAAAATTTAAAACCTCAACAATTTAACATATCTCTCTCAGTAAAGAAAAACAGCCACCAGCTGTGAGCAACAGCGCAACAGCACTTTCTCAACCTCAAGTTGGGCCAGCCCTCAATTAAATATAGTGTGACCACCTCAAGGTACACCAGTTACACGAATTTCTACAATTTACCTCAGATTATCTAGTGGGGGACTTTTGTGAGGTATAACCTAATGATTTAGAGACTCAGGCAGGAGTTGATCCAACAAACAAGAAAAGTTTTATTAAGCAAAGGAAGTTTATGACACAAAGTGGGTCAGGAAACGAGTTCTTTCAGGTAGAATTTAACTTATTTACTTTAACTATGTCTCAGGTTTAAACATAACACTTTAGGCACAACTCTTCTTAAACTTCAGTTACTAAACATCAGTTGGTTCGCTTCAGCTAGATAAATATTCAGGTTTCCAGAAGAGATGGCAAAATGTTCAAATCAGTTTCTGTCACTTAGATAATACAGTGACCGCTCCACACATTAAATGGAGGGGGCGCCTTTTGCGTGGTCACACACAGCCCCCACCCATCCCAGTGCGTCTCCCGGTAGTAGGGGCTGGCTTCGCCCTCCCCAGGCTGGATACCTGGAGTTCTCCGCCTACCTCAGCCAATCGCCCAATCCCACCTGGGGAGGCGTTGCCAGAGGATTGGCCAGGTAGGGGGAGGAACCTCCCACAGAACAGAAGGTGAATCTTACCTGCAAAGCAGTGCCAGTTGGCTCCAGAACTTCTCCCACCCTGCCCTCCCTCAGTTTAGCCTCCTTTTGCAGGTTAACCTTCAACCTCTTCTCCACAGGTACGTGGGTGCTGCTACGTCATGGTCACTGTTGAAGGGCTGGAAAGGAACTTTCCTGCATTGGCAGCTTTTGCCTTTCCTTTAGTAAAATGTCACAACCTTGGTGGTTTCAGGCCTTGGGCGGAATCCTTTAGTCTATCTTCCTAAATGGGAGGCGGGTGCGTGAAGCGGTGACCCACGGCCCCCTTGCGGTAGTGTTCCCGGGGTTCCCTGTTAAATGGGTCTTGAGGGGAGGCATTGGCCATATGCCGAGAGGTTGTCATTGCTCTCCGCTGCAATGGCGGCAAAACGAGGGGCGGGCTCTCTGCTTGAACATATTGTGGCGATCACACAGGGCCCCCGGACGTTTGACGGTCTATTGACCCTGTGCCACCACTGTGATTGCCTTCTTCGCTGCCACCACCCCGCTTCTCACAGGGACACACGGAGTCCAGACAGTTGTTAACAAATAATCAAGTTTACTTTTAAATGCAGGAACAAGCGTATGGTTTCAGTTTATTTTTATCTTGTCAGTTTCTTAATCTTAGTTCCTAACAACTCCAAACTGATTACTCCAACTATCTATCTGACTCAACCTAACAATTCCTCTCACTCTCTCACAATACAACTCTACCAACCCACACCGAATCCTCCTTCTTCCTTCTTCAACTCCCAAACCTCAACTCTCAACTCCCAAACCTCAACTGACTCTCAAACAGCTCCCACTCTCACTTTTACTGCCCCCTTGCATTCTCACTGGCCAATCACATCACACCCATTTTAAGTATTTCCTTATGACCCATCCTAGGAGGCAAACGCCACACATATGTTCTCCAGAGCCAGCCCGATCCCCACACATTCTGGATAACCCAGATGTCTCTCAGATCCCCGGCTGGGGACTGGGAAGGATAAACGCCCAATGCCTGAGCCAAGGTCTCCCTACATCTGAAACGTAATAAAGATGTGGTCAATTTTATTCTCATAGCATGTTGTCTTGAGTCAATATTCCACTGAGGGGTCACCTGGGGTTGGGGGGACTCCGCTTGTTCACGCAATGCTTTCAACTCTATACCACTTCCTTCACAGCTTAATACTTTGGCCAAACTGACACCCAGGTAGCCTGAATTCCCACAGGATCTACCTCTCCTGGCTCAGACTTAGCCTTCCCAGGACACTCCTGTCTGGATACCTTCCCCAGACCCTCAGCCTGGTCTCCCTATCCAAGCTGTGAGGCTCTGTCCTCTCGCTATGGATAGTCTCCTCAGTGTATGTATGTTTAACTTCACTCAGAACCAGGACTCTCTATCTCCAACCTGAAACCTGTCTCTCCTCCCAAAACAAAATCCTCTCCTTTTCAACTGCCTCCCCTGGAACCCCGGCCAATCAGAAGCTGTTCTTCGTTAACTATTTGCTGGCAGGAAAAAGAAAAAGAAAACACTTGGCGACCCAACGTGCCCAGCAAACAAACTTTTCCATCACACAGTGACCATTTTAACCTTCTGAGAAGCATTCAGGATGCAAAGGCCTCCTGAATTAAAACAGTTTTGACCAGACCTCTTGAACTCAGTAGGGAGAGTGTCTGCCTAACTTCTTGTGGCAGGAAGTTCCATAGATTTGAGCCCACAACACTGAAGGCACAACTCCTTGTTGACACGAGACACGCTTGTGGTCCATAGAGAAGCATTAACCATGCTTCCCCCAGTGACCTCAGGGATACCTCAGGCTATCTCTGAGGTATCCTGGATGTAAAGTATTCAGGGATTTGTACACGAGTACAAGAACCTTGAGTACAACTCTGAACCAAGCCCGTGGCTGAGGCAAAGTCAGTGGAGGTCTTTTAACAGTGATACCATGTGTTCATGGTGTTTGTGGTGGTCATCATGTTTCATGGCCTGAGACATTTTGGCATCTGAGGTGTGCCTCCGAATAGCCTCCCTCCCCCCATTTCCACCAGGGAAGAACGGGTGAAGGAAGATGTACATCAGGGACAAGGGAGGAAGAAATATTGACCCCTGCTGCCTCAGTACATCCTGCCGCCTGAGGCAGTCACCTCACCTTGCCTCATGGGTGGAACAGCTCTGTTCTGTCTTTGTGTTCCTCTTTCAGTTGGGGAAGGATAGATTTCCTTATTGCATTGTTGGTAGATGAACACTTTTAATTTTTACATATTTTTAAATTGCATTTGGTTGATATTTATGGTGTTTTTCAACTACTATCTCCCAGGGCCAAAAAACATGTGATGCAAAATAGAAAGCACATCAGGATTTGTACTTATTTATATAATAATGAAGTTAATGGAAATCAACATACATACATGGCCCCTGATTAACCTTAGGAAACAAATTTTCCTTTGTGCCTCAGACAAACCTAACTTACAGAGTGTATTTTTCCTTACAAATACTGTCTTAAGGGTGTATTTGTGTAGGAATAGGGTGAGCCTGTGTCCTGGATTCAGAAATAAAAGTATTAACCACAACAAAACAATGGCCAGACTGCCCAGGTAATGCAATCAATGACCATTATCAGGTATCAGGTATTATCAGGAGTAGACCGCCTCCTTCTGTGATGTATGTATGTTTTAGAGGGGTGGTCTTGGGCTACAGGGTGGGCAGTTTTAAAAGTTTATTTAAAGACTGCTCCATTGTTCAGGGTTCTCCTCCCTCCTGTGTGTGGTGAGTGGGGACCATGTTGCAACAGTTTAATAAAGATCAGGCTTACTAGCTGCTTTGCTTCTCAGTATACTCTGGTTGGCCTCTGTTATTTTCTCCCACCAATGGGGAATCCACTTCAGGACTCTATATGGGCTCTTGGATACCCCATAAGGGAAAAGGAGCTGTTTTTTCTTATTACATTGGACTGAGGGGTATTGAACACTGTGGTGTACTGTATATACAACCTTAGCATAGGATGGGAGAACTCAAAACATCAACATTCCAAGAGATCTTGCTCCCCCATTAAGTTTTTAGAGAATCCCCAAACTCAGCTTTGTGTTTTTAATTATATTTTTAATTACTCATGCACCCTTAAGCACACACAATGGGCTGGCCATGGACCCCCCCCCCCAAACTCTAGAAATTAATAAATGGTAGGATTTTGACTTATTGGGATAGGACAGAATACCGTATTTTTCGCCCTATAGGACGCACTTTTTCCCCTCCAAAAATGAAGGGGAAATGTGTGTGCGTCCTATGGGGCGAATGCAGGCTTTCGCTGAAGCCTGGAGAGCGAGAGGGGTCAGTGCGCACCGACCCCTCTCGCTCTCCAGGCTTCACGGACCTCTCCGCAAGCAGCGGGAGCGCTTCCGCTGCTTGCGGAGATTGCCGGCATGCCGAAGCCTGCGCGCGCTGAGATCAGCGCGTCCAGGCTTCGCGGACCTCTCCACAAGCAGCGGGAGCCAGCGCTGGGCTCCCACGGCTTGCAGAGAGCTGCCTGTTTGGGGGCTGGGGTTGGGGGAAGCTCGGGCCTCCCCCGCCCCAGCCCCGCGCCGGGGGGGGGAAATAATTTTTTTCCCTTTATTTCCCCCCCAAAAAACTAGGTGCGCCTTATGGGACGGTGTGTCCTATAGGGCGAAAAATACGGTAAATACAAGCATCGGAGGAATTAGCCCATGCAAAACGACCTGGCAGCTGTGACAGAGACTGGGGGTTTGGAAGGTTGTTAGGGTCACTGGGTATGATGCCACAGGAAGAGGGGGGCGGCTTTGGCATAAGGCCTAGAATAGTAGGAGGTGGGGGGAGGCAGAAAGATCTGTGCTGGCTGGCTGAAATCTTTTTATGAGAGATTCCTTGGATTCCAGTGCTGAACTGCTCTTGGGGTTTATTAGGGGCTTGTTATATGGACTCCCTCCAACTAAATTCCTGTGTAAATATGTGAATAAATCGTGTTTCTTAAAGTTTTGGCAGCATCCGTCGTGTCTTCAGTTCTTAAAAGGAGGTTGAGGGCCAAGCAGATCCCAGCAGCCAAGGTCACCCAGAGTCAATGAGTTTAGGAAATAGGGAAGTTGCTTGCCTTTGTTTAGCTGATGGGTAGGCAAACTAAGGCCTGGGGGCCGCATCCGGCCCAATCGCCTTCTCAGTCCGGCCCGCAGATGGTCCGGGAATCAGCCCGTTTTTATATGAGTAGAATGTGTCCTTTTATTTAAAATGAATCTCTGGGTTATTTGTGGGGCATAGGAATTCATTCAAACCCCCCCCCCCCCCAATATAGTCCTGCCCACCACATGGTCTGAGGGACGGTGGACCGGCCCATGGCTGAAAAAGGTTTGCTGACCCTGGTTAGCTCCATCAGCAGACAAAGGGGGGAGGGTTCTGGCCACCAAGGTGGGGATGGTCAAGGAATTTTTCATAAAGTGCCCGCAGGTAAAGTCTGGTGGCAAGATTTGGATTTGGAATATGCGGCAAGAGATGGGGTAGACTGGACCACAGAGAGAAAGCAACAGAAACTCTTTTGGACTGGGGGCATGAGTTTGGAGGCCCTGACCCAAACCCCAGGAGAGTTCTAGGAAGACTGAATGTGTGAATTAACCAGAATAGACTGGGAACTTTGGGCAGGACTGTTGGATTTACTTAAGAGGAAGAATTCTATGGAAACTCCAGGCAAACTACTGCAGCAAAGGGAGTTGTTTCTGGCTCTTGGGACTGATTCACAAAGAGGCTCTTCCTGCAAGATCAACAAGTATTTTGCAATGTTGCGAAGCCATTTTTGTGTTTCCTTTTCTTGCATGCTGGTTTACGGATTTCTTAAGAATTGCTCATATAATATTTGTGTATGCCTGAAAGAAGAGCTGGCGATGGTATATTGGTGGACTGGAAGAAGTGGTTACTAGGTTAGTGATGATCTGTACCCAAGATCTGTACATGATCTGTACAGATCATGATCTGTACAGATCATGATGATCTGTACATGATCTGTGATGATCTGTACCCAAACACCACCAGAAAGTTATTTGTGTTTAGTCAGAATCTCCTAAAGGAATGGATGTTACCCATGGTAGATGGGAAGCTATCCAGACCATCTCCAATGATTCCAGTACTCCCATTGTGTGGAATAAGAAGATCACTAAGAAAGTGGGATACAACAAGAAGGAGTTGAGCAGTGTGGAGCACAACTGGAACATATCCGTGACTGCCTCATATCAGTCAGGCGCGATCACTGAGGCTATTGCGAAGTACCAGTTCTCTCTCACTGCTCAGTATGGTGGGAGCAGTGTCAACACAGAAGAGCAAGACTGGAATGAAGCCACTGAGCCACGTTTCCTGTGGTTGTTATTTCTGTACATTGTCTGAAAAAAATCAATAAATTGTGTATTTGGTTCCAATGTAGGTGGAGCAGTGTGTAGTTTCTCATTAATCCGTAGCCTCTTCTATCCTATTTAAACAGCAAGTGTTCACACATTTCCTTCATTCTCCACCAAGAGAAGCAGCTGCCACCTACTACAAAACTTTCTGTCTGAATACCACGAATACCGGTAAGTCTTGGAGATTTACTGGGCAGGAGAGGAGAGAAACTACTTTAGAATTTGGGACATAAGGGAGGGAGTATTTTGGGGGACCTGTAGTCTAACTACCTCTTTATAATTATAAAGGATATAATCATAAACTCTAAGGTGTTTATTTCAGCAATAACAGTACAAGTTAAATGAAGTTCCTTTTAATAATCCAACAACCAGTCTACTAAAACAGACCATGTATTTCAGCAACAGACCTTGAATCAAAAAATGACATTAATGCATATTCAAGCAGAATCTCTCCCTACACAGCTGAAGCAAAATCCCAGGGGGTTCCAGGTGGTGCTTCTTTGTGGACCTGTAGTCTAACTACTTCTTTATAATTATTGAGTGCCAATGAAATTCCCTGTGTGATATTGAAGTGACATGGGGCTTTCCCCAGTGGCGGAGGAAGGGGGTGGTGCCATCTCTGAGGAGGTGTGACAAGAAGGCACACCTCAGGGGGCTCGCCCTGCCACCCCGGGCGCGCACCGCCATCGTGCTTCCGCAGACACGTGCGGAGGATCCTCTGCTCGCGGCTGCACCCTCCTCCACCGTCCGTACAGCACTCGAGCGGTGCCATCGGCAAACACATTGGCACATGCACAGCACCGCTCAAGCACCATACAGCATACCCTAACCCTCCACCACCGCTGCAGCCGCGAACAAAGGTTCCCTCTGATGACTCTGCAGCTGCGAGCAGAGGATCCCGCCGCCATACATACAGTGAGCACGCATGCGTGGTATGTAGCAGTGCACACATGGTACGTAGCGGCACACACGCATGCGCAGGCAGGCTGTTTGCCCCGCCCCCCTGCCCTGGGTGCCTGTTCTCCTTTCTTTGCCACTGGCTTCCCAAAGGCTTTAGGAATTGGTATCTCTGGTCCCTCCAGCAACCAGAACTCAGTCTCCTCTAAATGTCATGAAACACCTTGCAGGGCCTCTGGGTAGGGGAAGGATTCAGCCACAGAGAAGCTGGAGCTCCCTGAACATTTCTTTTGTAAATAGCTTATTAAGTTTATCTTATATTAGGAACATCCATCCCGACCTCCAGATCTCTTTCAGAATGCAGTCCTGTACAAACTGAATATTTCTTGAATAGCAAGGAGTAGGGCTGCATATAGTCACCAGGAGACAATGGCTATCTCAATACTTTGTGAAAATTTATTTCATAAGGGAGTTTTGCATTGTGTGGAAATGTATGTTCTTTTGCCTATCCACTGACTCTGCTGTCAGGCTATTTTAATAGGACCTCTTGAGCTCTAGAGTTATGGCAACAGAAGAGGGAGAGAGGAATAGCCACTTCTTTAATGTCACGCATAATCTTATAAACTTCTGTTACGCCCCTATTTTTATATTCCTGAATCAAAAACACCCAAATGGTGGAGTTTAGTGGCTGATCAAACTACCAGCCCTTCTTGTGCAGAGTGAGGAAGAGATCCAAGAACACAGGATGTATACCTCACTCTAAGGTTTTTATTTAAGCAATAACAGTACATGTTAAATGAAGTTCCTTTTAATAATACAACAGCCATTCTACTAAAACAAACCACGTATTCCAGCAGCTGAGTTTGAATTTAAAAATGACATTCATGCATATTCAAGAACACTTTCCTCTGCTGAGCTGTAGCAAGATCCCAAGGTGTTCCAGGGACTCACCCAGTGCTCCTTTGGAAAATTGAAGACATGGTAGAGACTGTCGTAGCTTTAAGAAATATGATTTATTTAAACCTTCAGGGCTTCATTATTATCAGATAATGGAGGCATACAATTTGGACAAGAAAATTGGCTTCCAGGTGGAAAAATCAAAATTAGAAACAGAACTGTTAGAACCCAAAACTAAGATTTTGTCAAAGATGTATAACTTGCTGTTGAAATGGAATACTCAGGATGAAACGGTGAAATCTGCTATGATTAAATGGGCACAAGATGTTGGACATAACATAATGATGGCTGACTGGGAACAGTTATGGACCACAGGTATGAAGTTTACGGCATGTAATGCCTTAAGAGAGAATATTATGAAAATGATATACAGGTGGTACATGACCCCAGTCAAGCTTGCAAAAATCTATCACTTGCCCGATAATAAATGTTGGAAATGTAAGGAAACTGAAGGTACATTCTTACATACCTTTGGTGGACATGCCCAAGGATTAAGGCTTTCTGGGAGATGATCTATAATGAAATGAAAAAGGTATATAAATATACCTTCTTGAAGAAACCAGAGGCCTTTCTCCTGGGCATGGTCGGCCAATTGGTGCCAAAGAAGGACAGAACTTTCTTTATGTATGCTACAACAGCAGCAAGAATACTTATTGCAAAGTATTGGAAGACACAAGATTTACCCACTTTGGAAGAATGGCAGATGAAGGTGATGGACTATATGGAACTGGCGGAAATGACTGGCAGAATCCGAGACCAGGGAGAAGAGTCGGTGGAAGAAGATTGGAAGAAATTTAAAGACTATTTACAGAAATACTGCAAAATTAATGAATGTTAGAATGATATCAGAATGAAGTTAAGTGGTTTTAGCAGCAATGTTATAAAGGTGTATGTAAAAATGGACTGTTAACAAGTGAAAATCCAAAGTTAAAATATATTAAGTTAAAGGATTAAGATAAAAACAAAGAGGGAAAGGAATTGCTGAATTAACTAATAGAACTGGAATACAAAAAAGGGAGGTGTGAGGAGGTCAGGGAAGCAAGGAAACGAAATGTAAGGCATGGAAAGATTGATGTGTTTTTTAAGTGTTTTTTATCTTTTTTCTGTATTTGGTTTTTTTTCATTTTCTATTTCTTTTTCTTTTTATTTATGTAATATTTTCTTTGAAACTTTAATAAATATCATTTTTAAAAAAAAGAAATATGATTTATACACATATTTAAACCTTCAGTCTGCATGGAGGGGGTGCAGATCTTACAGCATGGCAATCCCAAGCAGGGATGCTCATCTAGTCTTAACAATCTGCACCTGCTGGACACGTTGCTGTTAGAAGGAACAAATCAGACGCCACAAGAAAATACGAGGAGGAATAAAGAATTGGGGAATCTCTTCTCTTCCCCCACAGCCCCCATAGATGTGTCCTTCCATCCTCTCCTAGCTCTGAACCTCAACAGTCTGGCACTACAGTACTATTGCTGTAGAGCATTAACTACCGAGGTTGAGGGTAGGCAAGTAAGTTTATCTGCCCCTTCCAGTGCTGTATGGGTGAAAGGGTGGTGTCAGTTTATGCACACAATGAGATTTTGCTCCTCTTTCCAAGATATCCTGAGCTGTTAGGCAATCTCTTCCCATCACAGCCCTTCTCTGTGCCCCCCCCCCCCGCCGCCGCCAACGGAGGTGCCGAGGGGGGGGGCAGCAAGAGAAGAGGCCTTGCCAGTGGTAGCCCCTGGTTGTGTAGAGCTCTCCCTCATTAGGCTTGCCCGCCAGTGATGTCATTTGCTTTCGAATGCCAGGCACATACATTTTTCTCCTGGCTTCTGATTCTTTGAATTGATGCAATTTCTATCTATTCCTTTCATTTTTTTTTTATTTTAAGAAATTATATCCCACTTTCCATATAACCAGTCTCAAGTGGTCTGTAACAATAAAATGTACCATATACACAATTTAAAACATCACTTAAACTTCCAAAATTTAAAATCTCAAGAATTTAAAATCTCTCTTTCAGAAAAGGAAAAACAATCACCAGCTGTGACCATTTTAACCTTCTGAGAAGCATTCAGGAAGCAATGACTCTCTGAAATAAAACAGCTTTGACCACACCTCTGAAAGTCAGTAGGGTGAGGGTCTGCCTAACTTCTTGTGGGAGAAGGTTCCACCGGTCATCATTTGTGAGAGGGAACTGGGGGCGGGGGGAGAGACCCAAGAACACAGGAACTATTCCTCACTCTAAGGTTTTTATTTCAATAACAATGCAAGATAAATGAAGTTCCAACTCTGCAATTCTAGGATTCTATGGTTCCTTTTATTAATCCAACAACGTGCCTACTAAAACAGACCATGTATTTCAGCAAATGAGTTTGAATTATATAATTACATTCTGAATTACTCATGCACACTTAAGCACCCACACTGGGCTGGCCATGGACTCCCCTAAGCTCTAGATATTAAAAATGGTAGGATTTTGACTTATTGGGATAGGGCAGGATAAATACAAGCAGCAGAGGAATTAGCCTATGGAAAATGACCTGGCCAAGCTTGAACCATTAAGAAACAATACAGGGCTATTCAGGGCCCTTGGGAAGGCAAGAGAACTGTACTTCCCCCGCTGCCCTGAGCTGTGACAGAGACAGGGGATTTGGAAGGTTGCTGGGGTCACTAGGTGTGATGCTGCAGGAAGAGTTGGGGGGGGGACTTTGGCACAAGACCTCAAGTAGCAGCAGGGGAGGAGGCACCACAATTTGTGCTGGCTGGCTGAAGTTATTTTGTGAGAGTTGCCTTGGATTCCAGTGCTGAACTAATGTAGAAAACAAGCCCCTATTGGAGCTTGTTAGGGGCTTGTTAGATGGACTCCCTCCAACTAAATTCCTATGTGAATATGTGAATAAATCATGTTTCGTAAAGCTGTGGCAGCATCTGCCGTGCCTTCAATTCTTAAAAGGAGGTTTTGAAGTAGCCACAGAAACACTTTAGGGACTGGGGGTACGAGCAGAGCGGTAGCCAGGTGATATTGCACCCCTGGCAGAACCATCCAGATTGCGCCCCTTAGCCGCGGACAAATTAGCTCTTCTTTCCGCCTCTCCTCCAACCCCCGCCCCTCCACCCATTCAATTCACCCTTTATTTAAAACCATTTCTTATGAGGCAATAATTGATATTTATGGACATATTTTTAGTCGATTTCGCGCCCCCACCTCACCAACCCCTAGCTACGGCCCTGGCTATGAGTTTGGAGGCCGTCACCCTAACCTCGAGAGCCCTAAGAAAACCAAACTTGTGAATTAAGCAGAGTGGCCTGGGAACTGTTCTTCAATGGGACTGTTTGATTTATGTAAGACGAAGAATTCTGTGGAAATCCAGGCAAACTACTGCAGCAAAGGGAGTGTT